AGCCGCCGAGCCCCTCGTGGCTCCCTGCGGACCGTCGCGAGAGTGCGGCCGTCGTTGTGACGCGCAGTGACGTCACTCACAGCCGCCATGTTGCGTGAGGAATCGCCGCTGGCGCGCGCCCCCACCCATCATGGCGGTGTCACGTGTGGGATGACGTCACGCGCGCGGGGCCGTGTCCCGCCCTAAGATGTCCGCCGCCGAGCTCCGCCCTTCGCCTGCCGGTTGCGCCGAGCGTCGTCTCTCGCCTCTCGCCTCGCTTCTGCTTCTGCCCGCAGCAGCAGCAGCAGCCCGAGCTGCCCGTTGAGCCGCGATGGTGAACGTGCTGAAGGGCGTGATCGTGGCGTGGTGAGAGAGGCACTGGGCAGGGGGCAGGGGGTGGGGTGGCGTCAGGGGCGCAGCGCCCCGCGGCCTCCATCGCGAGTCGAGCGGCGGGGCCTGGAGCCCGAGTAGCCTCACGGGGTAACCTCATTGAGTAATCTCACTGAGTAGCCTCACGGGGTAACCTCACGATGTAATCTCACTCAGTAACCTCACGGGGTAATCTCAGTAACCTCACGGGGTAACCTCACGATGTAATCTCACTCAGTAGCCTCACGGGGTAACCTCACGATGTAATCTCACTGAGTAACCTCACGGGGTAATCTCACTCAGTAACCTCACGGGGTAACCTCATTGAGTAATCTCACTGAGTAGCCTCACGGGGTAACCTCACGATGTAATCTCACTGAGTAACCTCACGGGGTAATCTCACTCAGTAACCTCACGGGGTAACCTCATTGAGTAATCTCACTGAGTAGCCTCACGGGGTAACCTCACAATGTAATCTCACTGAGTAACCTCACGGGGTAATCTCACTCAGTAACCTCACGGGGTAACCTCATTGAGTAATCTCACTGAGTAGCCTCACGGGGTAACCTCACGATGTAATCTCACTGAGTAACCTCACGGGGTAATCTCACTCAGTAACCTCACGGGGTAATCTCAGAGTAACCTCACGGGGTAATCTCACTCAGTAACCTCACGGGGTAATCCCACGGGGCAATCTCACTGAGTAACCTCACGGGGTAACCTCACGGGGTAATCTCACTGAGTAGCCTCACGGGGTAATCTCACGGGGTAACCTCACGATGTAATCTCACTGAGTAACCTCACGGGGTAATCTCAGTAACCTCACGGGGTAATCCCACGGGGTAACCTCACGATGTAATCTCACTGAGTAACCTCACGGGGTAATCTCAGTAACCTCACGGGGTAATCCCACGGGGTACTCCCACGGGGTAATCACACGGGGTAATCTCACGGGGTAACAATGCCACTGCACAATCCTACTTGGGTGTCTGCAGCAGCAGCAGCTGCGTGTTGCCTGAGAAGTCTCCACCAGTTTACTGGAACTCGCCACGCGGGCGACGTGTTGGCGACATCGCGCGGGGTGCAGAAGGTCGTGGGCACGGACGCCTGCTGTTGTATATTTGGAGTTTGCAGGTTCTCCCCGTAGTCGCGTGTATTCAATTGTATATTTAGTTTAGATAGTTTAGTGTATCGAGGGGTCCATAATGTTTGGGCTATTTTATCGGGGGACATATCCAGAGCAACGTGGAATTTCTACCAATGGAGATATGAGCACCGCCAAATGCTCATTTGTGTTTTGGGTCAATGACATTCTGCCGTAACTCCGGTGTAGATTAGGTTCCTTTGGCACTCTGCGCTGCAGTAGATTCACCTGCGTTTTGTGTTTTTCAGTGATCCTCCCATGAAGCAGTTCCTGCTCTTTCTGGATGAAACCAATGCTCTGGGGAAGAAGTTTGTGATCCACGATCTGGACGAGACGCATCTGTTCATCGCGTCTGAGGTGGTGCCCATTCTGCAGGAGCGAGTGGGCGAGCTCATGGACCAGAACTCATTCCCCATCACCCAGAAATAAAGCGTGCGCTCCTCCTCCACACGCGGGGACGGCCAACCGAGGAAGATGTCTCCTGAAGATTATTTGTGCGTTTTCAAATCCAAGCATTTCACTGGCTAGTGTAAAATAAAAACATTTGGCTCGGCATGTGGAGTGTTTTGGCAGCGGAATAAAAAGCTTTTGAAATGATGGCTTCATAGACCGATGATATTGAGTGCTTTGACCCGTGCAGCGATTTGTAAACGTGTTAAATATGCCCAGGTTATGTGTTGTCTTCCTCACGTTAATATAGTCACCAGGAAACGCGTGGCGCTGAAACCATGGATTGTGGTTCATTTTAAATTACAGCTTTTTGGCTAAATGTGAAAGTAACTGCTCACTTGCTACAAAATGTAAAGTTGGGTGTAAAATATCTGAAACGTCAACTGAAACATTTACATAAAACTTGATGGAGGATACAATACGTTTGAGCATTTTGTTTTTTTATAGGTTGAACTGCACGTTTATATCAGTTGAGTGTTGTGCTGTCATGAGTTTGGCACTGCTGCATATGGCAGAAATATACATCACAAACCAATAATGCTGCAATAAACAAGTAATACAGTATACAACTGAATGGTGCTGCCAATGTTCATCATGGTTGTAATTGACAACTTGCGTAGGTATTGAAAATACCATCGTGTGGAAGCCTGCATTTTGCACGATTTTATCCTTGCATGTGTATTCTCAAATTGATGAATTTAACCCACTACTGTACCATGAAGAAACGTAAGAATTCTAGTACAATGGCTAACCTAACTTTTAATGCTGAAGTGACTACTATTTCAGTCTGTTTTACCACACTTGGGCACTCTTGATTTTTGCTTGGAAATTTTGTTCATGCCATTTGGGCAAAATGTAGCAAAACCGTTGCATTTGAACTGCTTTGTACAGTCACACGGGAGAGTGGGAGAAATATGAACCACTGCTGTACAGTTTATACGTCATTCTTCTACAAAGTGTTGAATGCTTCAGCGGGGATTGTAAAAGTTAATGTTCCTTAATGCGGAGTGTTTTGATGAAACAGTATTGCAAATTTTCACTTCACAACATTACACAGTTTCCCAGGTATTTAGTGTTTCTGCCTGTCATTTATTTTTGGAATATTTTGGATCTGGACAATTTTTCCAACGACAGAAAACAAATAACAACTTAACCAATGTGTTAATAACGTTGGGAACACCTAACCACAGTCCTTGAGTTACATCAACAACAGCAGTACACATTATTCGAGTGAGGGATTCATTTTGATGTCTGTTTAGTGTTCTGGTTAGTATAAGTTGCTAGTCGTGGAGCGATTGGCTCTCATCCGTAAGGTTGCGAGGTTTAATCTCGGTTTGGGGTTGATTCCGCCTCGGGTTGATAAAATTGGTATCACGAGAGACGTGCTGTAAACGGATGATCACCGTCGTAATGGTAATTTGAACAGTAAATTACATGTTTTGAGCTGCTTGTTTTGTGCGTTTTTTTTAGCGACAGAGTCGTGTTCAGCTCTATGCAGAATTGCCACGTGAAAATTTGACTCGTGTTATGCAATTCGGAAGGTTTTGATGTGTGTGTGATTGCATATAAGCGCTTTCAATGAACTATCCATGAAAGTGTGTAAATAAATTTGAAGTAATATTCTTTATTTTTTTTTTATCTACAATGTAGCATCGGTTGTAAAGAAAGTCCATCGTTTTGCTGGCTCGGCATGCTTTGCAACATGCAACAAATTCGTAAAATTACTGGAAAAATAACCATGCTATATATGGGAGTTTGCAAATGGATGTGTTGACAGTAAAGTCTGCCAATGGATGATATTGAACCAGATTCGATTTTATTTGGCTACATAACTGTTCAAAGTGTTTTGCCACATTTCATACATGTGTTCAGTAGCTTTCAGCCATAATCTCCACAAGGACTCGATTCTGCACCTCCATTCTCATGGATTGTTTTTCTCCGTTGTGAATAATGTATATTCACTACCTATCGGCAGTATTATTTACCGCAAAAAGCGTATTTTATCTGCACCTTCAAGTGAGTGAAGTGAGTGAAGTGAGTATAGGCAGCCTGCAGGTTGCCAGAGATGGTCCGAATGTGCGCATGATGCGGAATGTGTCGATGTGATGATGAGTGGGTCACGCCGCGCTGCCGCCTGGGGGGCCTGAGAAGGGGAGGAATGCGGGGTGAGTGGGGGGCTCCGTGGGCCTCACGGGGGCTCCCCCTATTCTCGTGTTGAACCCTACACACGAGGGTCCCCACGCGTGATGAACCTCACTCGCAATGAGCCTCACAGACCCCCACTCTTGGTGATGACCCCCACTCTTAGTGATGACCCCCACTCTTAGTGATGACCCCCACTCTTAGTGATGACCCCCACTCTTGGTGATGACCCCCACTCTTGGTGATGACCCCCACTCTTAGTGATGACCCCCACTCTTAGTGATGACCCCCACTCTTAGTGATGACCCCCACTCTTGGTGATGACCCCCACTCTTGGTGATGACCCCCACTCTTGGTGATGACCCCCACTCTTGGTGATGACCCCCACTCTTAGTGATGACCCCCACTCTTAGTGATGACCCCCACTCTTGGTGATGACCCCCACTCTTAGTGATGACCCCCACTCTTGGTGATGACGCCCACTCTTGGTGATGACCCCCACTCTTAGTGATGACCCCCACTCTTGGTGATGCCCCCCACTCAGTGATCAGCAATCTTGTGATGACCCCACACGTCCACATGCACGAGCAAGCTGCGACGCTGTGGGTGCCGCGGGCAGGATACGTGGGTGGGACAGGCGAGGCAGAGTGGGGTTGGTGGAATGGCGAGGGAGGGTGGGGAAGGTGAGTCGAGTGGGGAAGGTAGGGACAGTGGCGTGAGGGTGTGGCAGCTGAAGAGAGGGTGTGAGGCAGCTGAAGAGGGGTGGGAGGCAGCTGAAGAGAGGGTGGGACCAGGTGAGGCGTGAGGGAGGCAGCTGAAGAGAGGGTGGGACCAGGTGAGGCGTGAGGGAGGCAGGTGAAGAGAGGGTGGGACCAGGTGAGGCGTGAGGGAGGCAGGTGAAGAGGGTGGGACCAGGTGAGGCGTGAGGGAGGCAGGTGCGCAGAGCGCGCGTGTGGGAGCAGTGGGGCCATGCGCGCCTGGCCGCGCTGCCCTCGCCGCTGCCCCCGTCGTGAATCCGGGCCCCGTCGTGAATCCGGGCCCCGTCGTGAACCCGGGCCCCGTCGTGAATCCGGGCCCCGTCAGCTCGACTGAGTCACCGTGGCGATGGAGGCCGAGCGGGCGCGCCTGGCGGCCAGGATCCAGCGATGGAACGAGTCTTGCCTCGACCTCTTTGGGATGAGCGGCCCCGATGAGGTGAGACCGCTCCGCGGCACGGGCTCCCGGGGTCTCGACAAACAGAATCGCACGAATTGTAACGAGGAGGAGGAGGCGGTGGTGGTGGCACCTGGGGTTCATTTCTGACCGGCGCCTTCTGTGTGGAGTCTGTATGTTCTACTCTCGTTTTGCGTGAGGGGTTTCTCGGGGTTGTCAGATTTCCACTCACATCCAACCATAAGATGTAACTTGTAATAGGATATCTGGCCAATATCAGCTACGTTGTATGTAACTGATGAAACTACACGAACTCGTGAAGCTCTCTCGTCGTGGCGAGCGGACAGGCATCTCGCGCCTGAACCACAAAGTGCTATCAGTGAGCAAGAATACAATTGTATGTTTACGTGTTTTGTTGAGCCTCTGTATGTACAGTACTGTATGGCTCTCATAATAGATCTGTCCTGGGATACACACGGGTTGTACAGCCTAGAAAAGGGTTTTAAACGACGGCGAGAGCCTCCCCCGTGTGAGTTTAAATGCCTCTGGCGGGGGCAGGGAGCGGGGAGGGCGCGCCCCGGGCCCGCGGCCACGTCCAGGTGGCCGTCATCTCACCCGGGAGCTGCCGCGTCACCCGGGGCAGTGGCCGCCCTCGTGACGGTGTGAGCCACACAAACAGCATCGCGCCTCCTGGCTTTAACCTTCTTCGTCAAAGCCAACCGCGTAACCATCGTCCGCTTCAGAACATCAACAAGCCGACGCGTAAGCCAGTCGTGCGATCGTGGCCATGCGACCCAAACGATGGGCCATATCGTAAACGAAAGAGACTCCGAGACAGAGGCCCATATCGATACATAGAGGCACATATCGATACATAGACGATAAGCCACAGAGGCGATCGTGGCCATGCGACCCAAACGATGGACTCCTCCACAGTAAACCACTGCAGTCTGCGCTCCTGCAACGGCGGAGAGACGTCAAGACGACACCAACTCTCTCTCTCCTGATGCGCCCTTGTCGTGGCTAGCAGACTGACGTTGCCATTTAGCTCCTGAACACATGAACCTGAAGGCGGTGCCCCAGGGTCCCATAGTACCCCGGCTCTCGCACGATGTCCGCGATGCAGTCATTTTTAGTCTGTTGATGGTCGGCGATGGGGCAATCGACTCATCTGGACGAGCTGTACTCACGATGCACTATGACTACGCTGCGTGCCGCGAGCGTTCAGGGTTTCAGCGCAATCGTCCTCGCTGCGTTTCAACATCGCGGAGTGGCACCGATTTCGGATTGATTGGTACCCCAGTCGCGGAGTTGTGTTACACCCCTGGGAAAAAATAGTGTCCCAGAAATAAAATATTTAATTGTCTCGGCTAGTTTGTATTATTTTGTACCCCGGGGTACCGCCATAAGAATCATATTGCTGTACACAATAATATAATACAATTAAACCAGCATGAGTCATGATTGTTAGTATTATGTTTTTTTAATCCAAGAAAGCCTTAGGGAATCTCAACTCTTTTCCAAGAGGGGCCTGCCACGTCTTATCAGGAGGGGGCGATGTTGCTATGTGTAAGCACCATTGACTAATTTTCAGGTAACAATTTCAGCATTGGGGGTTTTGGCCAATACCAATTCTATGCTTTTTTATAGCGATAATATGGAACGGGAGTACCCAGAGGAAACTCGTGCAGGACAGGGGGAGACATTACAAACTCCACGCAAAAAGATGCGCGAGTCAGGAATCTAACATCGGGGCCGTCCATAAATGATGTCACGCGATTTTGGACGATTTTTGACCCCCCCCCACTCTCGTCACACGGCGTCACAAAAAGTCAGACCCCCCCTCAAATATGCTTCAAATCGCTTTAAACTATTGCCATTGTAGTGCGCATTTAATGTGGCGCTGCACTCTGATGTTGTAGGAGTGTTGTTATAACAATTCTATATTTATATAAAGTTGCGCATTTTGATGTGACGTCACATTTCTCAAACCCCCCCCCCTCGTCACACATCGTCAGAAATGTCTGACCCCCCCCCCCAGGTGCGTGACGTCATTTATGGACGGCCCCATCCTCGCTAATTGCTACGAGGCTCACGCGTTCCCACCGAGCCACTCATTTCAAATGTCAATGTTTATTATCATGCAGAGTGACATTCTGGCTCGAAGAGACTATGTAGGCATGAGATACATATAGAGATGGGGTATTGACACTTTAAGGTTCATGGTGTACATTCTTTATGAATTAAAATGGAGATAAAAAAAAAGTATTTGTGTCCAAGAAAAGCAGAGGTCTATTGTCTTCAAGAGTCAATCGTTGCCGAGACAATCATTGCGGCTGTCCACAATGGAGTTGCTCTGCATCTCACCACGAAAAATGTCACCGCTGGAGAAACTTCACCTTCACAACGTGTGAAGAAAGGTCTGGTTGCACAGCCCGTGTTTGCTGCCCGGCGAAGCTGCGCATATTGACAGCGCTCACCTCCTCAAGTGACACCACCAAATGTGCCTCGTGTGTGTGCAGGCTCTGGAGTTCCATGCGGTGGTGCGGTTTCAAGTGCAGGCCGAGGGGGCCGTGGGCAGGGTGCACAGCACGTGCGTGCGCGTCACGAGCTCCAGCAGCGCCGTCGATGTCCTGCGTGCCCTGGAAGAGAAGCTGCAGACTCCTCTCGACTCCTACGGCATTTTTGAATTGCTCCCTGGCAAAGGTGGGCTAATTCCCGCTTCAGAGACGAGCTGCAAATTAGTGTTGTTAATCTTCTTGTTTCTTTCGGTAAAGTCACGTAGAAGGGAAGTAATAAAATAATAAAAATAAAACATAATAAAACAATTCTCACGACGTTTCGGCTACAACGCAAGCAGCCGTCTTCAGGTGAAGAATGAGACACTACCAAACTAGGAGCTTATATATAAGCTGCATTGGGGGTTGAAGAGCGCCTTAACAAAAAGAATGTGCATGTGAAGAGGGATTTAGCATATTCATGGAAAATGCGTAGGCGTTGGGCGGGGGGGTGTCAAAGTCATATTATGCCCATGCATTATGCAGGATCAGCAGCAACCAAGGGGGGTGCAGGGATTAGCAGTAACAAAGGAAAGGAATGTTAATGATATGTAGCTGCAGTTACTCAACAACACGTAGAAAACTAAAGTATAAACTACATAAAAAACTAAAGTATAAACTGCATCGCACCATCAGTATACTTACTATACTCTATAATAAGCTGAGTTACTAACAGCAAGTAATACATTACAATTTTACCTCGTAAAAATTCTATAATATGCTTCCATCTAAACCTTATTCTCTTACATCACACGAGCATATACCGTACTATATACTGCCATAGATAAACCCAACATTAAATTATATACTGTATTGCTGTAAACCAACCTATATCTTATACATTTAATATCACACTATGTATTATTCTACACACCCTAATGTGTATCGAAATGGTTTATTACGTCCTTCCAATGATTGCTGAGCCAGAATCCATCTTCTCGGTTAAAGTTGTCTCTGTGTTTGTATATGTGGATCGCCTCATGAACGAATCTCTCATGATAGCCAGATGGCTTGCAGAGAACCTCTGTCTTGGAGAAGTCAATATCATGTGAGCCCACTGAGTTGTAACAGTGATCTGCCACGGCTGAGGTGTTAGTCCTACCGTGTTTCAGGTCAGCTTTATGTTCACGGATGCGGTCCGAGACATGTCGTTTGGTTTCCCCAATGTAAGTTATGTTTTAACATTTATAATTAAGATTTAAAAAGTATACAACACATTCTTACAAATGCACACGTTTGATATTACAGAAATGTTTCAAATGTGGTGAATTGCAGTTTGATTACGTTGATTTTATATAAAACCTGAAAATGTGCAGATTACTAACGTTCTCATACAGATACTCACTTTTCGTCAGCAGATTATTTCGTTACACATATTTTGTTTTCAACTTCATATTCCACGTTCACGTTTCATCAGTACAGTGCAAACTTGCGCAATGCAGCTCCTGACAGCATGCAGCGCCTCTGGCAGGGCGAGTGGAATTCATTTCGCCGCGTTGCTCGGAGCAGCTAAAAGCGAGTCGGCCCAGTTTAGCTGCCGGGCAAGTAGCGTGACTACACAGCAGCCTCACCAGGATTACCGGTCACATGGCGGCTGCCTTACACACAGATTTGGCAGAACGGCGTTAATTGGCCTTTGAATGGTGTCAGATAGTGTAAGTGTGCCTGATGGGTGTGTCTACGCAGTGTGTGGCACGGACATTGCTTCTCGTGCCTTGCTGTTCTTGCTTGGCTGTTGTAGAGACCGGAACCTCCGGGATTGCAGAAGCATACATTTCCATCTCTGGCCAATTTTGTGGATTATTTTCTAAATAAGAATGCACTTTAGCTCTTAGTCATAACACGATTATTCCATGAAGCTTTAATCCACAGATTTTAGCCATAACAATTTAAAAATATTTAAACTATGTTTTATTGTGATGATTGCGACTTTTCAGTTCTTGTGCGATGGGAGCTGCAGGTTGACGTGACGATGCCTCGTGTTAGGGGAAAGCAGCGCAGTGATGGCAGGTTAATGGAACTCGCGCGCTTGTGCACCGCAGGTGAGCGGCGCTTGGGACATGGTGAGAGACCGCTCTTGTTGCAGCTGGCCTGGAACCCCAAAGGTCACCATGGGAGCTTCATTCTCAAACCAACTTCCTCGTTACCTGCCAAGGTACTTTGATTCTTATTCAGTGAGGAAAGCCTCACTGATTCTCAAGATTATTTTTCAGGAGGGCCCTGTCAAGTTTGCACAGTAGGGGATGATGTTGCTATGATGTGTAATCCCAATTGAGTAATTTGCAGAGGTGATTGTTCAGCATTTGGATGTTTTGGCCAATACCAGTTACACTGTGTGGTGTTTTAGTTATGGGAGGAAGCCGGAGAACCCAGAGGAAACCCATGCAGAAAAGGGGGAGGAAATATAAACTCCACACAGAAAGGCACCCGAGTCATGAATCATTGCCACCCACTCTACAAGAAGGAGTCGTACCGAATACTCAGTGAATTGCCACACTCTGAGAAGGATTCAAAATGACCGTGGTTGGGACAGGAAAAAGCTGATATGTTAAAAGTGAAAATAGAAGACGAAATGGGGAGCTGTTTAAGCTGTAGGAGCAGTAGATAACGTCTTGTTATACTGGGGATGGCCACAAGGAATAGCAGCAGAGGAAGCAGGCTGAGTTGGCAGAGCCAAGGCAAGGGATGAGCAAAAGACAGAAGCAGGCAAAATAAGAATTCGTGTTTAGGTAGTTTGACCAGTTTTTTTATCGGATATAAACCGCACGATTGAGCAAGCTCATTGAGAAACTGGAGTCAGGAGAGGGAAAGTAATTTGCAAAGCTAAGCAAATTGAATGTGGAGCGAAAAGTAACCTGAGAAACGGTTTAGACGAAGTTAAACAGTGGAATCTGCGTCGGGGAATCTGAGTTTGTGCTATTATTGCCAATCTATGGACATAATATATATGTGTAATACTGAACTCTATTATACATTTTATTTTGGGTAGTTTTTAAGTTACGATAATTGTTGTAAAGTTTTTAATTTACATCGGGTGATATATGAAAGTGGTGAATGTGTGAGGGAGGAGGGTTGTGAGGAGGCTGGCTGTGACAGTGTTTGTCTGGACATCTTTGACAAAGAGCTTTATAGCTCATCGGATTCCTCCAGTATGAATACATATTCTAATTCTCATGATATTCTGATTCTGATTGTCGAGACGGGAAGCGAGGGAGTGGGTGGAGGTTTCTTATTGGCTCGGTTTTGATTGCACAGATCGGGCAATGCCCATTGCATCACGGGAAGTGTCGCCAAAAGAGTTAAAAGCGGCTCCAGTGATGCGAAGTTTTTTTGTCGGTCCCTTGTGAAGTCCTCAGTGCCTTGCCAACAGCCTTAGCAATCTACCAAGTCAAGTTGCTCAACAGTGTAATATGGATATGTCTTAAATGTCCCATGAGACTTTGCTGACTAATTCCCTCCTGATGGAATTGACATCGGTGTGCTGTTGTGATGCAGCCTCGACTGATGTTTTACGTTGGCAGGGTAAACAACTCTGTGCCCATTTAAACACTTGTGATGAGAATGGCCTTGAGATTACCTCTGAAACACAGGGACACACAGGGGGTGCAGCAGCAGAAACCACCCTCCCTTGAGCTCACAGCACACGCCATACCGGCCCGACGAGTTCTGGAAACACTTGCGGCCAATGTTTGTATCAACCCATCACCTGCGTGCTACCTTGAATTATGTCAATTCATTTCAAGATCATGTTCATTTTGTACTGATGCATCTAAATCATTTACCCCCCCAGTTGAATGTAGGTTTTGTTGTTAACTTTCCTCGTCATTGTTGACTTCCTAGAGTCTTTAGTAGCAGCACAACAGATTTCTCGATGTGCGCAAGTGGAATGCCGCAGGGTATTTCCACTTGCGTGAGACTGTGTGTGTGAATTAGTGTGTGGGAGTGTATGTGTGTGAGTGTATGTGAGACTGTGTGTGAGTGAATTAGTGTGTGGGAGTGCAAGTGTGTGAGTGTATGTGAGACTGTGTGTGAGTGAATTAGTGTGTGGGAGTGCAAGTGTGTGAGTGTATGTGAGACTGTGTGTGAGTGAATTAGTGTGTGGGAGTGCAAGTGTGTGAGTGTGAGACTGTGTGAGTGAATTAGTGTGTGGGAGTGCAAGTGTGTGAGTGTATGTGAGACTGTGTGTGAGTGAATTAGTGTGTGGGAGTGCAAGTGTGTGAGTGTATGTGAGACTGTGTGAGTGAATTAGTGTGTGGGAGTGCAAGTGTGTGAGTGTATGTGAGACTGTGTGTGACGTGAATTAGTGTGTGGGAGTGCAAGTGTGTGAGTGTATGTGAGACTGTGTGAGTGAATTAATGTGTGGGAGTGCAAGTGTGTGAGCGTGAGACTGTGTGAGTGAATTAGTGTGTGGGAGTGCAAGTGTGTGAGTGTATGTGAGACTGTGTGAGTGAATTAGTGTGTGGGAGTGCAAGTGTGTGAGTGTATGTGAGACTGTGTGTGAGTGAATTAGTGTGTGGGAGTGCAAGTGTGTGAGTGTATGTGAGACTGTGTGTGAGTGAATTAGTGTGTGGGAGTGCAAGTGTGTGAGTGTATGTGAGACTGTGTGTGAGTGAATTAGTGTGTGGGAGTGCAAGTGTGTGAGTGTATGTGAGACTGTGTGAGTGGCGCACTTGCCCTCACCGTCTAGTGAGGCTATAAGGGGGATGTTTTTATTTCTGAGTGGCTATTTTCTGAATTGGTCCCGAGCCTCCCGTAGGTAAACTCGGCCTTTACAAGGTGGTACCTGGTGTGCAGTGTAAAACATTGCCACTCGGGAGACAAAGGCGGTTGGGCGTGGTGCTGGCCACCTCGTGTGCTGTGCCAGCCCTCATAGGTGTGCACCTCACAGCACTTGCCCTAACAGTCTGTGAAAGCTGAACAGGGGATCTTTGTCTTTTGTGCATGCATGGGTGTGTGAGTGAATGTCGAGGTGTATAGGGGGAGTGATATCGTAATGGTGAGCGCACTATGGCCGATTGTTATGTGAACGTCTCTTAGCATAGCCGGCCCAGGTGAGCAGCTGGTGAGAGGCGTCAGCACCGGCCACGGCGCCGTGCGTGACCCTCGCGTGACCCTCCAGACGCAGTCCTCCATGAGCACTGCCCATGGCAGCCGAAACAGTGACACGACGAGAGGGGAGACGTGCTGTGTGTGTGTGAGTGAGACGTGCTGTGTGTGTGTGTGAGTGAGACGTGCTGTGTGTGTGTGTGAGTGAGACGTGCTGTGTGTGTGTGTGAGACGTGCTGTGTGTGTGTGAGTGAGACGTGCTGTGTGTGTGTGTGTGACGTGCTGTGTGTGTGTGAGTGAGACGTGCTGTGTGTGTGTGAGAGACGTGCTGTGTGTGTGTGAGTGAGACGTGCTGTGTGTGTGTGAGTGAGACGTGCTGTGTGTGTGAGACGTGCTGTGTGTGTGTGTGAGACGTGCTGTGTGTGTGTGTGAGTGAGACGTGCTGTGTGTGTGTGAGTGAGACGTGCTGTGTGTGTGTGTGAGACGTGCTGTGTGTGTGTGTGTGTGAGTGAGACGTGCTGTGTGTGTGTGTGAGTGAAACGTGCTGTGTGTGTGTGTGAGACGTGCTGTGTGTGTGTGTGAGTGAGACGTGCTGTGTGTGTGTGTGAGTGAGACGTGCTGTGTGTGTGAGACGTGCTGTGTGTGTGTGAGACGTGCTGTGTGTGTGTGTGAGACGTGCTGTGTGTGTGTGAGACGTGCTGTGTGTGTGTGTGTGAGACGTGCTGTGTGTGTGTGTGTGAGACGTGCTGTGTGTGTGTGAGACGTGCTGTGTGTGTGTGTGTGACGTGCTGTGTGTGTGTGAGACGTGCTGTGTGTGTGTGTGAGACGTGCTGTGTGTGTGTGTGTGAGACGTGCTGTGTGTGTGTGTGAGACGTGCTGTGTGTGTGTGTGTGAGACGTGCTGTGTGTGTGTGTGAGTGAGACGTGCTGTGTGTGTGTGTGAGTGAGACGTGCTGTGTGTGGGTACGCAGGTGTCTGTGGAGGTGCAGGTAAGTGCGTGTGTAAGTGTGTGCTTGTGTATGCTTCTCAAAGCGAGTCTCTAGAATCTGCTTCTTTATTGCTTGCAAACATGATTTGGTAACCAAGGCCTGGTAAACTGATGTCACGATAATGGCCATATTGTGAAAAATGATGCAGCAACTGTAGTAAGCACACACATTATCTGGCTTGTCAAGTTTAAATTGTCTTGCCTGCTCTTGTGCAGAAGGTGTGTATTTAGCTGTGTCGTTAAATGCAAAAAGATGTTCAATGTTGTTGTAGTTGATGGTTGTATTCACTCAAAGAGAAAATATCTATTCTGCCAGGTGGACGGTTGTGAAAGCCCGAGTGACCAGGTCAGAGACAATGACCAGGATTCCTTGCAGAGCCTCAAGAATTCCTCCGGTACAACCGCACACTCTCTGTGCACACAGTTCACCCTCGCTCCTTGCACATTAAACACTCACGCAGAGTGGCACATACCGCACGTGTACACACCGCACGTGTACTCACCGCACGTGTACACACCACGCTGCATGGCCATGGTGAAGCTCAGCAGCAATCGCTCTGTGAACTCTGAGAGCAGCAGCTGAGCCTGGTGACTATGGAGTGGGTCCAGCACCCTCGCTAACCACATACACCAGGGCTGACGACCAGCTCCCCCCCCACCCTCCCTCCCACCGTCACTCAATGTGGCGCTTTGATGAACTGGCTTCTGGGTTTGCCTGGAGCTGCTGCTGCTGATGCCAAAAGATTTTATTTGGTTCAAGTTGAAACAGGTTGACAATGGTTGCAGCTGCTGCCAGGAATTATAATTCACAAATGCCGCCATATCTACGTAATTATAAATTTGACATCTCCGGTGTAGGCACCTAAATTCATTGTTTACACATTTAAAGTACCGTTCATGGCTGAAATAGGTTTATTAGAGTTAAACATTTGAAGCCAGTTAATTAGGATGAATTAATTATCTGATAAATATAAAGTCTTGATCTCTGGGTGTAAGTCATCAATTACGAAGCCTTAGCTCCCTTACTGCAAATTGGAGACGCTGTGTGTGGAGAAACCAGTAAGGACACGTTTGGATTTATTGGTTTTCATTTATTTAATGGAGTAATTGCACTGTTATTATATTTGATTACTATGCCATGTGGAGGTAGCGTACATTACACAGTGGCATAGTCACAACTAAATATTTGGTGATGCTGCTGCATTGGCAGTGGTGCACAAATAACAAAAAAACACAACTCAACACAATCGTAAATACCACTGCCTTAACAAGATAAAGTATATAGCAATGATCCTTCTTAACAGCACGTAGAGAGACCAGAGAGGTAGCGTGGTTAGTCATAGCAGGGTTTATATAGTGATAGAAACGTATTAACCAGGGTTGTCTGTCGGATTTGAACCACAAACCTCTGCAACACGCGGAAGGTATGCTACCCCTGGGTCCAATTGTTGCTGATGACCTGCTTCCCCATCTACGTAATATTCTATTCCTACAAGCGTCCTGATGTTATGCATTAGTGGCAAAAGTCCTCAGCGACTGCCTCAAAAAGCGATAAATAGGTTTTTATCACTTTATTTAACTCACTCCCAAAGTATAGCTAGCCCCTTTAATATATCTAGTGGCTGATCTGTCTCCTTCCTGTATCTCTGCTCTGAGTTTAAACTGGCCTTCAAGTTGCCTTCACGGCTGTGTTCAGCCCATTGAGCGACTCTCTGGGTCTCACTCATCACCCTCCAACCCAATGAGCTCCAACCCCACTCTGTAACTCCCACTTTTGCCACGACAGCTTCTACAGGTCACCCCAGGTGAGAGGTCACACTCACTATAGACGTCACACTGCGGGTGGTTCCTAGTGGATATGTAGACGTCACACTGCGGGTGGTTCCTAGTGGATATGGAGACGTCACACTGCGGCTGGTTCCTAGTGGATATGTAGACGTCACACTGCGGCTGGTTCCTAGTGGATATGTAGACGTCACACTGCGGGTGGTTCCTAGTGGATATGTAGACGTCACACTGCGGCTGGTTCCTAGTGGATATGTAGACGTCACACTGCGGGTGGTTCCTAGTGGATATGGAGACGTCACACTGCGGCTGGTTCCTAGTGGATATGTAGACGTCACACTGCGGGTGGTTCCTAGTGGATATGGAGACGTCACACTGCGGCTGGTTCCTAGTGGATATGTAGACGTCACACTGCGGCTGGTTCCTAGTGGATATGGAGACGTCACACTGCGGCTGGTTCCTAGTGGATATGTAGACGTCACACTGCGGCTGGTTCCTAGTGGATATGTAGACGTCACACTGCGGGTGGTTCTTAGTGGATATGTAGATGTCACACTGCGGGTGCTTCCTAGTGGATATGGAGACGTCACACTGCGGGTGGTTCCTACTGGATATGTAGACGTCACACTGCGGGTGCTTCCTACTGGATATGTAGACGTCACACTGCGGGTGGTTCCTACTGGATATGTAGACGTCACACTGAGGGTGCTTCCTACTGGATATGTAGACGTCACACTGTGGCTGGTTCCTAGTGGATATGTAGACGTCACACTGCGGCTGGTTCCTAGTGGATATGTAGACGTCACACTGCGGGTGGTTCCTAGTGGATATGGAGACGTCACACTGCGGCTGGTTCCTAGTGGATATGTAGACGTCACACTGCGGGTGGTTCCTAGTGGATATGTAGACGTCACACTGCGGGTGGTTCCTAGTGGATATGTAGACGTCACACTGCGGGTGCTTCCTAGTGGATATGTAGACGTCACACTGCGGGTGCTTCCTACTGGATATGGAGACGTCACACTGCGGCTGGTTCCTAGTGGATATGTAGACGTCACACTGCGGGTGGTTCCTACTGGATATGTAGACGTCACACTGCGGCTGGTTCCTAGTGGATATGTAGACGTCACACTGCGGGTGGTTCCTACTGGATATGTAGACGTCACACTGCGGCTGGTTCCTAGTGGATATGGAGACGTCACACTGCGGCTGGTTCCTAGTGGATATGGAGACGTCACACTGCGGGTGCTTCCTACTGGATATGTAGACGTCACACTGCGGATGCTTCCTACTGGATATGGACGCATCCATGTGGCCCGGTGTGGTTACCATCTGGGTGCATTTGGTTAGTTCCGCAAATTAGGTGGCCTCAATCAAAATTTCAAAATCATCCGAATAATACTTTAATGGGGGGTCATTTTGATGGTAGTTGTAGTGATAGTTTTGGAGAGTGTGGCATGACATATACCAATGGTTTGACATGGCACAAAGCTGAATCCACCATCACCATCCCAGCGTGGCTGAATAAGTGACTCTGAGTATGTCCGAAACCACTACATTTCACAAGTGTTTTCACCTTGTCAAGAAGCCTGCACAAATTATTATTTTTACCTGCATTCTTACCCTAATGGGATGACACACGATGCCCAAGTGAAAATCCACTTCCAGGTTATACTAATTATTACCCCATATTTAAACTCTCTGAAATGCATGCACGACATCGTGGCGCTGCCCATCCATGTGCATCTCTTTCCTTTTACCCCAACCAGGCTACCTTGAGCTTGGTCCAGCAGTTAGCACAATTGGCCATCAAACACAACAAAGTAATCTCTAACAACCGCTAACTCTGTTTCTCAAGGGTTCACACATATGCTCACTCTCCGTGTGGCTTTGCGGTGCGTACAGTATTCATAACAATTATGATAACCGCTGTCGTAAATTATTAACCTGACAATGGCGCGGGTGACCTCGCGACCGACCGAGTGCAGGCAAGGCCATTCTGCAGCTGAGGAGGAGCCTCTCGGGGGGCAGCCAGAGGGAGAGGCGAAGGTCTTGGGGAGAGAAGGTGACGCCCCCCGTCATGCGACAGAGCTCGTATGGGCCGACGAGCACGCAGCAGCAACAGCAACAACAGCAACAACAACAGCAGCAGCAACAGCAACAACAGCAACAACAACAGCAGCAGCAACAGCAGCAACAGCAGCAGCAACAGCAGCAACAGCAGCAGCAGGGGGACTGCGAAGGCGGAGATGTGGAGGGCACCGAGCAGTGCTTGCCCTACCTCGTTGACGTGACTCCAGGTGAGTGCGGCCATGGCATAGACGCCGGTGGTGCTGCTGCCCGTGCCTTGTAATCCAGCACTGAAGGCAGTTCGGGTTGATGGATTACACCAAAAATGTTGTGAAACTCCCTTCTTGTGTGCGTTGCGGAAGTTCCATACTCTGGTGTTCCAGGACATGGTGGTACGGTAAAAAAGTGGACTTCATCTGCTCTTTCTGTATGGGATGGAGTGTTTATCCCCTGCATCAGTGGGTTTCTCTGGGTGCTCCGGGGTTCCTCACACAAGTAAGCACGAATTAATTGGCCGCTAACACCGTCGTATGTAGAGCACCGCAAAGTTTCTCTCTTTCAGAGCGAGTGAATCCTGTGTGGCGGTGGCGGCGTGGTACCAGTTGACATTGTTAGTGTTGTTCGTAAGAGGGAAGCATAACGCAAAATGGAGAAAAAACGTAATTAGTGAAATAATTTTAATGCAGATTTCTATAAAAAAAATATCTTTCCATATCCTTGGTGACAGTGGCCTTTAATCGATGTTCTCCATCTCTCGTCCCTCCAGCGATGAAATTGGCAAAGAAATTACCAACAACTTGAACTCATTAACAATGCAAGACAGATGACAATTTTTTTCTCACGTCTGTGTCTCTCTAGGAGGATCTCAACGCATTTTCTTTCTGCATTGTGAGGAGACGGCCATTGGCTGTGAACAGCACCAAGACCGATGCATTCAGGTGAGCGTCGTTCCGGCTGTATCGCCCTTACAAAGATCCCCCGTATAGCCCTAACATCCTGTTTAGGCAAGTGCTGCTAGCGAGCACCTATGAAGGCCAGCACGATACACGATGGGTGGGTGGCTAGCACCACGCCCAGCCGCCTTTGTCTCCCTAGTCGTGACATTTATCCTGCACCAGTTACTCATTTCTTTAAGGCTGAGTCGACCTAGGGTAGGCCTAGGACTGGTTACGATAATCGTCACTGGTGTTGGCCATGAGTGGGAATCGAACTTGGGTCGCCATATTTGTGGGAAAGTAAATTAACCATGACACTACCGCACCCCAATATATACATACACAAAGACAAAGATCCCCTGGATAGCCTTAACAGACTGTTGGGGCAAGTGCTTTTAGCGAGCGCCTACATACATACAAACATACAAGTACGAATGCTCACGAAAATATTTGCATGAATCAAGGTGGGGTACTCCATTCAGGTTGCATTCCCAATCAGTAAAAAAAAAATAGTCCAGACTTCTTCTAAAAATTTGATGTCATTGATTTGACATTCTGCACCATGAATGAGACAATGCAAACACGATGTTCATACAAATATTAAATCCCTACTTGTTTTGTATGGGTTCCCCTTTTTTACAGCATAATAACTGCATATCGTTTCTCTATAAATCTCAATTGCAGGCTGTGTCTGTGAAACACAGCACCTTCCTTTATGATAGTCTTGTGCTGTAAGAATGACACAAATATAAATTATAATTATTTTAACAATGTGTGCTGCTGTACTGTGTATGTTTTATGACTCTATGAGATGCAGGTGTATGGGCCTGGTATTGGACCTCGCCACTGCTTTGTCCATAAACAGGATGGGGTGGTGACCCTGGTGCCATGCGTACCACTGAACAACCTCACTTACGTGGATGGGCGGCCAGTCCATGAACCTGTGGTGCTGCACAATGGGAACACGGTGCGCCTAGGGTCGGGCACTCTCCTGCAATTTGTGTACGGACCTGGCTCCATTCTGGAACAGGAAATGATGGCCTTTGGAAACACGGATTTCACAGCGTCAGGGCCTATGGTGGCTGGCTTCGAGCACAACGAGCTGGGATTGAGAATACCTTCAACGGAAGCAAAAGTGGATGTGCATAGACCACAAGCACAGCCCTCATTGCCGCAAGGGCATCGGTATGGGTCTGTGGGAATTGAACAAAGCGAAATGCGACAAGGGAAGGGGGCGTTCGTGGAAACAGCACCCAGAGCTGTTGGCGCTGGACTCTGCTTCTCAGAATCAGCCGTGAGCGCGGTGGCTTCGGGAGTCTCACAGCCCGAGCCACGTCCCTGGGAGCCCAGTCTAGGCCCAGGTTTCAACCAACAAGGCCTGGGGGGATCAGAGAGAGCCAGAGCCAGGACCAGAGCCCTGGAACAGGGGGATCATCTCAGCAAGCCCTTGTCAGGACCAGAGCACAGCAAAGTCCAGCTCAGGTGAGAAGTAACATGCACCAGGACATTTTATATCTTTGTTTTTGTAAGGACATTACGCAGATGCACGACAAAGTCAATGCGCTCGAACCAGCATCATTAGAGCTAAAATGCAGTTTCTAAATTATTTGGCTTACACCGATACCTTCATGTGAATGTAAAAAAAATAGACTCGTACCATTCGATAAATGCATCCTGGTGTTTTTGTTTCAGGAATGCCTTGACTTCGGAGTTATATCAAAAACAAGCTGCATTTGAATCCATGTCTGTGGAACAGGTAGAGCTCCCCAACCCTCTTAACTGATGGCATTCACCCTCTCCTCCCGTCTCGGGCCCTGTGCTTATATCACCTTGAGTCTCAGAGAGGTTCCTTTCTTTTGTTGCCTTTCACAAAAAAATAAGAATCTGTAAACGTATTCACGGCTTAAATGTTTATGGTGATTAAATATCAATCAATCGATATAACTCGGCCATAAACACTGGAATGTAAATACCAATTCGTCACGCACGTGTTGGCAATGACCTGTGCTGTCTCTGTTACCAACAATGGGACAAAGCATCACTCAGCCAATGCAATTTATTCCAGATGTTCCCTCAGCACGTGAGTACGGCCCCTAGACGTTGTCTAATGTAGCACCTGCGTCTGTCACACACACAGACACAGGAGTCAGTGTCGTTGTCGTTGTTAGACTCGTGGGGCAGGGCATTTCTGTGGCCATCCACCCGATTGGGTCCACGGTAATGCGCGGTTGGATTTTAACGACCACTGGGCCCGGCTCCAGCTGCTCACGCATGGGGGGCAGCAGAGCTGTTGTGTGGGGGGCCACCGGTGCAGTGATTCACCACTAAGCAGAGTGACCTTGGGAGGAGGGAGGGGGGGTGACAATGAGGACATTTGGCAGTGCAGGCTTCCCCCCAGCACCACAATGACAGCGCCGGCCCCGACGACGACCACGCATGGGCACTGTGCTCGTTCAACGTGGCCCTGCGTGCTTGATGAGGCAGGGGTACGCTCGTGTGAAGCTGTGCACTTATAGTTTGTCCTTTGTGAGCAGGAAAACAGAGAGAAGCCTTCCTCATCTACATCAGAAGGGTAAGCCACCATATTCATAGTTATTTAAATTACTGCACTGTGATGAAGGTCATCGTTTATAGTGATTTCATTTCTTTATAAGAGACATATAGGCATGGGGTTGAATAATGGTTGCATTGTAGTGGAGTATACGAGCTGTACGTCCAGAGTTGTAGTCTTCAGTCTGATGCCAGACTATATCCGCTTTATTCACCGCTGAGTGATTTGCTACCATGGCATGGCGATGCTCGTTGAGTGCGATGGAGGCTGAGTGCTGAACATAGTGGCGTTTCTGCTGCAGGACGCTGCAGCGACTCCACGCCTACGAGCTTTGCCTCCCCGTCTACGTGGAGGTATCCTCCAACGGTGAGGACTCCTGCAGCCGCGGCCATCATCGCGGTCTCCTTTTCTCGCTCTCCCTCTGCTTCGCTTTCCTCTTCGTGGGGGGGCCGCTCCCACGACCACTCGCGGGCCCTCCCTCCATCCCTCTCCTTGCCGTCTCGTACCACTCACCGGCTCCTTGGTCGCCTTACTTCTTGGCCGGCTCTCATTACTGCCGCCTGGAAGTGGGCAGTGGGCGCCCCGCACGCAATGTGACCCACTCGTTGCAGAGGTTCGTGGTTCGAGCCCGGCGGCCGCCCTGGTTAATACTGCGGGTGTAGTGACCGGAAACATACTATGTGCCGTCTGCTTCACAGCGGACATTAAACATCCCACAACGTCATTCGAAATGATTAGGAGGCCATTGTGTTCCGGCATCATGGTCCAAATTTGCCAAATTCTAATATTACACCACAAATTACTCGATTGGGATTCCACACAGCGGCAATGATCACCTCCTCCTGGCAGAGGTAAGGCACAATGGTAATTGATATTTACCAAAGTCAAACTTGGACCTGTTGTTAATAAAGTTGCAAAAATCCGGTCTCACACACCGGTTTGCAACACACCCCACCAATGTTTACATTTAAATGCAGGGGAAAAAGTGTGTCTGATAATCCAGAAAAAACGGTATATATTTGTCTTTTATAGAATATCATTGATAGTCTGTAGGCAGTCGATGTATGTGGTCATTGGTAGATAACAAAAGGCAGAAAGATGAAGATGTTGGATTATTTGAACGAAGGGAGAAATTGTGACATCAAGAGAATGACAAATGCCAGGGAAAGTTGCAGAAGAGAGTGCAGGCTGTTTGACTTGTGGCCAGGGCCTGTCAATAGCCACGCATTGCATTGGGATGTTGACGTCATGTTCCATTCGATGTTGCTTTTCAATGTGTTGCCTGGATGATGACATGTCTGTAATTGAATGGCAGTAGCACTCGCCACGTGAAGGTTGCCACTTCCCCCCTCCACCCCCTGCTCTTCTATCACGAGGCCTGTGAACTCTGTGTTTTGCCAATGGAATTTTCAGCCGAGGAGGAGTTCCTGGATGCGGTGACCTCTACCCCGTCGGACATCCCGCCCACGTTCAGCCTGGGACCGGCCTACACCATCTACTCTGCCTGCCGTTTCCTGCTGTCCAGCCAGGGCAGCTGCTCCCTGCCCTCGCAGCAGCAGCAGCGGTGGCGGCACCAGCATATAGCGCATCTCACAGAGGGAGCGGCCTCACGCATAGAGGGGACAGTGCAGGTGGGCATGGGCACGCGACTGTGCTGTGTCTGTGCATAGCTTCACACGCACACTTCACGGCACCACGGTCACACAAAAAATAACATGTGACAATCACACAAACAGGAACATTCCGTGGACACTAAGGCCTTGATTTCAACTGGAGAAGTTCTGGATTCATTGGGGGCATGAGAGATTGCTTTCTAATCACAGTCCACTGCTAGGTTTAGTTTTTTATATGATCTTGTTTTTTTTGTGACCAAGATGAAGACCTGAAGCTAGATGGTTGAATTGTTGTTGGGTTTGGCAGAAGGAGGTGATGGTGACGAGGTAGTGGTGGTGTCGGCGGCATCGGCTGTGTTGGCTGCTTGGCTTCCTTGCCTTTTCCCTGTTTGTCATCATTTGGGAGTGATTAATTTCATTATTTGGCAGTCAAATATCTCCTCTGCCAATGTGCTGCAATTTTGACTGCGTTATCCACAAGTGGGCGCTGCAGCATCTCGCATGCCTGCCACTGGCTGTTTTGTGTGTGCATGTGTGCGTGTGTTCACGTTCAGGCCAGTGGACGGGACATGATGGTGAGCGGTTTCTGGATGGCCAACACCTCAGAGTTGCTTCACTTCTTGGAGCAGGATGGTGACCTCCGCCCTCTCACGCTCCCAGCGCAGGAGATGCTGTCCTCCGCCGTCCACACAGCATTCAGGTCCGCAATTGGTCTCCATGCATTCTGACCACATGACTTTGAATTCTGGTTCATTTAATGCATTTTTACTTTTTGTCCATTGAAATTAAAAATTTGCAGAGGGCCCCGTATCTTAGCCTGCTGCATTTCCCTGTGCCTCATGTGATCTGTGACTCACATAGACACATCAGGGCTTTCAGTCTTATAAAATTGGTCAAATATAACGCATGCAGAGCTTTGTAAATCCATTGTTTAACGAAGGCCACCCCATGCCGTGTTTGCCATTGTGGTTGTTTGAGTAGACTTCATCGCGCTGGTCGGTGTGTGTTAGTGAAGGGGTTCCCAGATCTGGTTCGGATATCGCTCACCACTGACGCTAACCATGGGCAGGAATTAACCTCAGCTTGCTAAGTTCATTGTGCAGTGCGATAGCCACTGCTTCACTGCTCCACCCCCTCCAGTCTTGACCCATGTGTGCGCTGTGTGCTGTGACCCACAGCAACCTGGTGGAGTGCTTGAAGACGGAGCTGAGTGTGCGCCTGCCCGTGTTCCTGCAGGACCCACAGACCCTGACCGCTGGGGCACCTCAGATAGGTGAGGTCTCACGCTGAACTGGCAGGGATGTGACGACATGCCACCCGTGACAATCGGTAATGCCACATGCTATCAAAGTGGTAACACGTGTTTCACGATTTTGAAACTTAGAGGGTTGCTTCTCTCATCTCCTTTGACCGCTTCACGCGGTGCTTGTGAGCAGGTCCAGTGCTGTCTCTGCTGACGGAGGTGATGTCAATGCTGAGGACGTTCAAAACCAACCCCGCGCTGCTGGTGCAGATATTTGCCCGCGTGTTCACGCTCATCACGGGCTGGCTCTTCAACTCGCTGCTCTCCGACGTGGATCTGGGCCTGCGCTCGCGCTACTGGGCCACCACGCTGCAGCGCCGCCTGCTGCCCCTGGCGCGCTGGGCCGAGGGGCAGGGCCTGGAGCGGGCTGCGGCCTGCCACCTAGCACACATCGTGCAGGTCACAGCAAACGCACTGCATGGACAAACATGTCCTCTATTAGCACAGAGAAGAATCACCAAGCAGCAGGGCTCTCTCACAGGATGATTCTGTATTTGGATGTTTGGCCAGTTTTACTCGTGGGAGAAATTCAGAATTCCCCAAAAAAATGCATCAATATTCTTGAAACATTCCCAGATGTTTCAGGTATTCAGTTGCCCATCATAGCCCATCACATCATCTCACCACACCATTATATCCAGATCCCAGTTAAAATGAAGCGGCCATTAAAATGAAGAGCATAATGGCAGGCAGTCACGTGTTGCTGTCCGTCCCAGTTGCCCACGAGGGTTGGGGTTACAATCGAAAATCCTGCAGCAACATTGCCAGCAACAATTTCCCTAAAAATGCCTCGACGGATCCATGGCCTTTAGCGCAAAGTGGTGAGCGCTGGTGGAGCGTGCCACGCACGTGTTGTTTGTACGTCGCAGATGTAAATCACCTTGGCCGGTAGCAACTCCCAATAGCCACTAGAGACGTCATCTTTGAGCGACATCTCCCATGTAAACGTGAGTGATTTCACACGAGAGATATTTAAAATTGATGATCGGTGCATAATCAAATGTCCGTGGTCGTTTTGACCGAGGGCACCACGTCAGTGCTTGTCGACGGCATCGAGGCATTAACAGTGAGTGCTTGCACGGCTGCAGGCCACGGAATTGCTGACCATGCGCAAGTACGAAGTGAGCGACGTGCGCGAGATCCTCGTCACCTGCTACCGCCTCAACTCGCTGCAGATGCGGGCCCTGCTGGAGACCTACCAGTACGCGCCCGACGAGCCCAAGATACCGCAGGCAAGAGGCCTCGCCGTGTCCCCACAGCCGGCGCGGTGCTCGGCTCGTCTGCGGCGAGGATACAAAAGAACCGCGTGGTTCTCACTCGTGCTCTGTGAATGCCCCACACACGCCTGGCATTCAGCCGCTTCAAGGATGTTCCTGGTTCCTCTCCCATCTTAATCGAAATTTGATGCTGAGCTCTCGATTCTTTATGATAACTTCTTTTGCAATTGCTTTTGACTCGTGTATCAGTGTCTGTTTACATATTTTTACAAGTCACCTCATATCTGTTTAATGTTTATTATGTTCTTGTCAGTCTAAAACTATTCTGAGCAAACTTATGTATTTATTATTTATCATTCATGTTTATACAATATTTTCAATATCTCATGTGGCTTGGTTATTTTGGCACCGATTTCTATTTCCTTCATTGCTGTACTTTGGTTTCTTGAATTCTCATCCTGGTCTCTTAAGTTCTTATCTCATTAACAAATAAACTTGACTTTAAAGAATAAAGGATTAGGCACTTGAATGACTAAGCAACAGTCTGCACAGACAGGCCTGTAACCTGCTTGCTGTGCTGCCACCGGATAGCCCTGCAGCTTGGGAATGTCGTGCTCATGATGTGCGCTGCACAACCAAAGCCCTGGTTTACAGGGGTGCACCACCATCGACACAGGGATATGACATTTAGCTCCGAGAAAAAACTTTTTATGTGAACTTGGTGTGTGTACGCATCTGTGTACATGCATCTTGTGCACATGCATCTTGTGCACACGTGTGGGTATGTGTCTGAGTGCATCCACGTGTGTATGGACATGCATGTGTGTTTGCGCTCCCAGGAGGTGATTGAGCAGGTGGTGAGCATGACGCGCGACACGACGGACGCGGTGTGGCTGTCCCAGCAGCAGGAGGTGAGTCGCCTCGAGAGCCTCGAGCTGCGGCTGCCCTTCCTGGTGCCCGGGGACGGCTACGCCTGCGAGGGCCTCGCCGCCATCCCTGCCGGCCTGCACCACTTCCTGCAGCCCCTGCTCCTCGCCGGTAAGTACACACACATGCACGCAGAACCAGTCCTCGGTCTCCCCTAGGTTGACTCGGCTCAAATGAGTACCTGGTGCGACGGGTAAACATGGCCACTTGAGAGACAAAGGCGGCCGAGTACCGTGCTGGTCACTAACCCCGTCATGTGCCATGCTATCTTTCATGAGTGCTCGCTAACAGCACTTGCCCCAAAAGTCTTAAAGGCTATACGGGGGATCTTTATCTTAGCGTGTGGTTGGGTGTGAGGAGGAGTACCTCTCGCTGTGACGCTGTGACGCTGTGACGCAGGGTTGTGCAAGCTGCTCCCACAGCCGTGGACGGGAACCTGGACCGTCTTCTTCTCCGGCGACTCGGATCGCCGCTCCGCTGCAAACTCGCTGTCCGAGGTGACATGCGCAGTTCACACGCGTTTATTCACGTGAATGTCCATGCTCGTACGTGCACAGAAGTGCAGTTCATGTCCCCACCCATAACAACATTTGTGACACGTGCGCAACATGTGAGGGCCAGATTGGCTCTGCCCTCCAATAAGAGCAGCTGCCACAGGGCTTGCAGGAAGGCGCAGTGGTAATGCTCTTGCCGCGCAGCGAGAAGGCCCTGGGTTCGATTGCTAACTCGGTTACCTTTCTGTGTGGAGTTTGTTCTGCTCTTTTTCTGCATGGATTTCCACCAGGTTCTCTGGTTTTCTCTCATAGATTAAGAACGCCGCACAGTGTAACAGGCATTGGCCAAACATCCCAGTGCTGAAAATTCACTGGCGAAGTACTCAATTAGGATTACACGCAGCAGCAACATCACTCCTGCTGTGAAAACTTGGCAGGACCCTCCTCAAAAAGGGTGTTAAGACTCGGTGAGGCTTTCCTGGTTAAAGAAGCATAACATTAATATTTAATTAATATCCGTTAATCAGCAGAGAGACTGGCCTTCTACAGGTGGGGATGCTGTGTTTGACGTCGTGTTTCATTTTGACTTAAAACTTTCGTGACTACTCCTTGGTTCTTTCGGTAAAGTCACGTAGAAAGAAAATAAATTAAATATAAATTAAACTTTCGTGAATGCAGGAATTCATAAAATAAAATAATAAATAATAAGAAAAAACACTAATGTAGACTGTAGCTTGGTTCTTAATCGGAGTGAGCGTACTGACAGTCTATAATGTAGACTGTGGCCTGGTTCTTAAGTATTGTAAGTGTACTGGCAGTCTATAATGTAGACTGGAGCCTGGTTATTAAGTATTGTGAATGTACTGGCAGTCTCTAATGTAGACTGTAGCCTGGTTTTTAATGAGAAATGCGGCTTGTTTTGCAACAGGTCTCCGTCATGATGGGGGAACCGGAAATTGTGCAGATAAACCTGCAGAAGCGCCAGGGCCTCGGCTTCAGCATCGTCGCTGCTAAGGTTGACCCTTCACCGGACACGTCCACACACATAACTAACTTTAACTCTGAACGCGGCCCGCTGAACCGTGCCTGTGTTTCCAGGGACCCAGGCAGGCGAACATCGGGATTTACATCAAGTCGATCATCAAAGGTGGCGCCGCTGACCTGGTAAGCGCCGTGTTCGCCGATGCAAACCAGCGACTGCACACGCGCCGTCACATGCGGTGCTTCTGGCGCACACAGTCACCGTCAAGAGAATCGCTCTCATGGCATGCAGACGCCAACGTGGCCGTATAGTCCAATACATAACCAGGCATTGCTCACCCTCAACATGCCGTGCTACCTTCTTCAGTAAGGTTTGTGTTTAAAAGTGGAAATAAACCACACAATGTGACAGGTATCAGCCAAACATTTAAATCCTGCAACATTTCCTGTAAATTACTCAACTGGGATTGGACACAGCACCAACATCGCCCCCGACTGCAAATAGTTGGCAAGACCGTCCTGAATGTAGTCTGGAGACTCGGTGAGGCTTTCCTGGGTAACAAGCACAATGATAACTCAATAATAATAAAATTATGTCGGTCCATGTGATATTGAAAGTTCACGTGGGATGTTGTCAGGTACTGTGGTCCCTGTCAGGAGCCACCGACTGGGCCCCAGGCTGTGGTCCAGATATTGTTATAATGATTACTCAAATGTTCATAACCGCTGTGCTCATTATTCAGGAGCTCCAATTCGGAGCCCTCTTCACCCACAGGTTTTTACTGACGGTTAAATCCACACGTGACGTGGTGCTGCATTGCATTGCATTCACCATATACAGGCACTGAGAAAGTGTGTATAGTGTTGTCTGCACATCTTAGGAATGCGCTTAAAAGCAACCTGGCAGATGGGAGATGCCTGTTTAAATTCCTCAAGTGCTGTCCTAATATCCTGAATCCTATCCTTGTAGTGACATACATTGGTTACTACGTGGCACAGCGCTGGCTGCTGGCAGGGAAGGGGATCTGCAGAGTGAAGCAGCCCTGATTGAGAGCAGGCCACGTGACAGACCAAAGAGGCATCGAGGGTAAAGGTTACGGAGGGGACGCGCCGAGAGCCCGCTCATAGGTTCCAGAAGGGGGGCGTGGCCGGGGCGGATCGAGGCCACGCTGACAGCATAAAAGGGGACCCGAGCGAAGGCTCGAGGCAGTCGTTGGAGTGAGATCCCCTCGTCGTCGTCGTCGCTGCTCTCGCCTTGGCCGCTGTCGTCATCCACTTGATCATTGTGCTGCTAGCAGTAGTTGGCTGTCTTCGTTCAGCGCCGTCAGTGTCAGATGGCTAGCGTTGTGTTGTAGGGTAGCAACCAGTATAGAGTTGCATTTAAGTGAGAGACAGAGCGTTGTGTAACAGTGCAGAGCGTGTTACCGTGTACTCAGTGTTCATTAAAGAATTGCCTCCAAGAGTTACATCTCCAAGTCAGTCACTACACTTGTAATAAGGACACATCAGCATCCTTCACTTTGGAGAGAGTTCAGGCTTTAAATATGGATGCGTGCATCGTTAGAAGGGGCAGTTGTTGGGTGGTGGGAAGTTGATCAGATGGCTGTGGCATGGTGCCGATTGTGTGTCTCGTGTGCGTGCCAGGATGGGAGAATCGCCAAGGGTGACCAGCTCCTCTCCATCAATGGAACAAGTTTGATCGGAATTTCAGAAAAACGGTAATGAACCGAAAACCACCTGATTGTGAAAGCTGTATATGACAGAGTGCACGGTGTTTCGATTAGCAGGGTTGGCGACGTACAGTCCGAAATAAGTTCAGCATACATAAAGGGTCACGCAGTGGTAACAGTCATGACTCACAGCAAGATGCGCCTGGGTTTGATGCCTGATTCAGACACCTTTCTGAGTGGAGTCTTTTCTCGCCCTGTACTGCATGGCATTCCTCCAGGTTTTCCAGTTTCCTCACACAGCTAAAACAAAGCATATAATGCAACTATTATTGGCCAAAACATTCCAATGTTGAAACATTCTTTGCAAGTTATTTAATTGGGATTACACACAGCAGCATCACATTCTGCTATGAAAACTTTTCAGGACCCTTCCGAAAATGAGTCTTGAGGCTTCCCTGGATAAGTAATAATAATGATACTGTATACCACACGGCTTTGAAATATGCACTAGTACCTCCTCGTCCAGGTCAGTATTCTGTGAAAATGACCACCCAAATCCCAGAGGTCATTCACAGCCATTGCTCAGGCTTTGCAGTCTGAATTCCCCTGCCAGGGTTTGTCTGCACTCGTTCTTTGTAAAATGAGACGGTACTTAACATCCGTGCGGGAAAAACATTCCATTGGAGTTGGAAGTGTCACCTCGGTGGCTTCCACCGAGTGAGCCTGCTGCACTCAACGCACAGTCCAACGTGACTCCCTCCTAGCCGGCCGTGGCTGTCCACCTCCCACACAAACCCCCCTTGGGCTGCCCAGAATCCTGCCCGTCTGTCGCCTTCGAGCACGTGCCCCACTCTGCAGACGTCCTGCTGTGTGTGGCCTGCAGGGCAGTGGAGATTATGATGAATACCGGATCCGTGGTGGCACTGGACGTCGCTAAAAACGCCGCTCTCTTTCACAACTTGGCGGATACGCTCAGCCATCCGACGCCCCTCAACAACCGCGGTAAGCTGTTGCACGTCGCCCAGCGTCCGCAGGGTGCGCGGTCCACACGTCGTTGCGCGGCACGCAGCCTGCGTCAGTGACGCACGGAAATCGGCGAACGCTGTTGTACATTCGGTATGCTGTGCGTGGGTGCGAGCGACCCTCAGTGGTGCGGCGGACGTCCCGCGCAGCACGTCCCAAGAGCGAGAGCTTCACGACGCAGGCGTGGCAGGAGAGGGACCACGCTCAGGGCAGCGCTGCCCACAGCCAGGTGGGTGCACGTCCAGCCCCTCGCTGTCTACATGCAATGCACAATGTAGTTTTATATAGAAAGATATATTTTTATATACCCACATTATTTGTAAGGCATGTGCAATTGCTGGGTATTTCCAGTTTGAAATTAACGATGCGTTTTGGCCAAACCCTCTGATCACTTTGCCTGATTGTCTACAGGGTAAGTCCCTAATAGCAAAACAACTTCATACAAACATATCGTTCCTTTTAGATAATCTTTACAAGAGTTATCATGACCCCCCATTGTAGAAACAGATGGTGAGACAAACAGATAAAGCTAATGCATGACCGCTTTAAACCACAGTTGTCTAACTTTAAAAAGGAAGGCCTTGAGCAGGGGCAGGGAATAGCATAAAAGCTGTCCTGGTGGTGCTGCTGCTGTTAACTGTGTTGTGGGCAGGCAGGCCTAGCTCTGGCTCCTTTTGGATGGAGTGGCCAAGAGAACCGCCGTGTGGGGGCCCACATTTAACTGTCATTCACCTCCAGCAAGAGTGGATTTTGATCGTGCAAAAGGGACAGTTGGTGGTGCAGGGCCTACCCCAGCACCCCGCAAGTGCCGGCACTGTGGCCGATGTAATCCTGTGTCGCAACGCACAGTTTTCTGTAATAATCCGTGATGTGTGGCTGTGACTGTCATGCAGGTCGACGTGTTGAGGCTACTGGAGGTTGAAATCAATCGGCTGAACTCCCGGCACCGCTCTCCTCTGGAGGAGGAGCAGCTGCAGAACCTGTGGATTGAGTACCAGTCGCAGCTGGGTAGCCAGCACGGGGCGGTGTCCCAGCTACCACTGCTCCGCCACCCCCTTCCCGGGACGGCCGCACCCAGGGTAACGCTCCCTCCGGCAGCGGCGTCCGCCTGAACCAGGCCCAAACTATAGAAGCAGGGCACCCCTGACGTGCGGTCTGTAAGGTGGCAATGGCTGTGGTGTGGGTTTATATTTGGGTGGCTGGGTGGCGCTGTGGTAATACTTCTTTCCTTGGTGCAAGAGGAGTCTCGGTTCGATTCCCAACTTGGATACCTTTTTGTGTGGAGTTTGTATCTTCTCCCCTTGTTTTGCATCGGTTTCCCTCCATAGCTACATCGGTATGATGAACCATTACACCACGATGGTAGCATCCATGATCATCAGACACTATCGCCCACAGTAAAGCGCTCTTATGTGGCACTCACAAGGATTTTGGTCTCTATGTAAACAGTAAATCATTTGGTTTGTACGTTACTTTGTGTATGTCTACGAATCTCTATGCAAGTTTGTTTTAAGTTTGTCATTCTCAATCTAACTCTATGCAAATCCCTAGATATCTCTGTGGGTCTATGCAAGTCTGTGTACGTCTATTGGTCTCTTTGCATGTCTGCAAGTCAGATGCATGAGGACACTGGAACTTTGTTTATTTTATTTTATTTTACCACTGCCTTATTTATGTAGCGATGATTGCATGTAAGCGGGTGGCTCTCGCTTGTGGATTTGAGCCAAAGACAATCTCATTGGCTGAGCACACTGCCTGATGTTTTATGTTGCAGTCCTCAGCGTTCAGGCCAGCGGCATCCATGTTGGAGCTCTCTTCAGACACCCTGGTGACACAGGGCCAGTACACGCACCCAGCGCTCCAAGCCCGGCTCGGACAAGCGCTGCCGGCCTGGTCTGACCGCAGCCTGGACCCCTGGGAGCAGCGTAGACATTCTCCGGAGCCAAACCAAATGGAGGCGGTTCATCTGGGCACAAGCCAGACACTTCACAAATTACCTTTGCACCCAAACTCAAAACAGCAGCAACCTCAGTCAAGTCCACTTTCGTTTGTGACTTCAGCTGGAGCACCAGTTGGCGGCAGAGAAAGAACGACTCATCTGTCACCTACTGGAGAACCAAAACTCCCATTTAAATCCACAATACCTGGCGTTAATGTAAACATGAGAAGTGATGGTGAACGGCATAACTCCTCATTCTCAGTCAGTCAGCACACAGTGCCACAATTGAAAGCCCTGCAGTCACCCACTTATCCCCCTCAATCCGGGCCGCACTCAGGTGGTTTTAATGCAAGTGTGAAACACAGGAGAGATTCCCAGCAGTCACTCGTGGAGTCTCAGGTAGAGATGGAGGCACCGATGGGATCGGTCTCCTACACAGAGCCTCCTGCGGGCCCTCACTCTGCTCAGTCCCCAAGTGGTCTCTCCCCAGACCTAGACCCCGATTTAGCAGCAGGGGGTTTCCGCCCACTGTTGTTCCGGGCACCTGTCCCCCAGGAGGCCGAACGAAGCTCCCCGGTTCCCGCCTCGAGGTTTTCTACAGGATTCTCTTCAGCCTCCGATGGGAATCTCAATCAGCTCCTGCAGAGAGGCTTATTCGAGCCCATTCTAAACTTCTCAAAGAATATGGACCAGACTCTCAATGCTGTGCACCAGGGTTTACCCACAACACAAACAAACCCAGATGACTTTAACGGAAATCCATATGACTTACAAAATACCGTTCACTTTGTGGAAAATGGCAGTGAAAATCAATGTGTACCGATCCTTAATCACATGTTATCACCACACAAACAAACTGCAAGTCTACACGAGACAGGAGAATTGCGCAATGAATTCCCTTGTGATTGTGATCGTTTAGTGGGAGAGAGCGGAGTGGAGGACCCCCCCTGCAGGCCCCGGCAGCAGCAGCAGCCCCACGAGCCCGCAAGACGCCACGCGCCTGGGTTCACTGGAGCGAGCACTGGCGAATCAAAGGGCACAAGGCGAACCTCCTGTAGAGTCATCCCTGATGTACTTTCTTCCATCTCTGAGGAGATGTGGCCTGGAAATGCCCAGCAATCCACAGCAACTGAGCAACATTTCTCAACACACATCAGAAACCCCGAGAGAAATGCTTTGGGTGTTATGGACGCAATACAAAAACCCACACATGACAAAATAATTGCAGTGGAACAGACTAGACAGCTTGCTAGAAACGTTCAGGTATCCCATGATGATGTAGAGGTATTGCCCATGATTAAAAATAAAGGGGACCAGCATGTAAACATGTCTGCTGCTAAAGAGAGTGAATGTATTGATCAGTCGCCAAGTTCTACAATGCACAAGTTTGCAGAAGATGGAATAAAACCCCAGTTTGTAGAAAAGGTGGACATGAAGGTTCAAGTACCAGGAGGCAACGAAGATCCCAGTCGCCTCTCCCCATACTGGAATGAAACAAAAGCTTCAGCAGGGCCAGAGCCATCACTCACAACTGGAGGGAAATTGCCCATTTTTAGATCGCATGGAATACATTCTGCAGGCCCCATAACTCCTCAACACACCACAGCAGATATTGCTGACGAAATGAAGTCTAAAGTCGTCTCAGATGGAGGGACGTCGCAGCGAAGTGATGCGCACAGGAAGTCGCGCTCCCGTGGGCTTCCACGCGTAACGACCGAGACGCTCACCCTAGCTCTGCGGGAGACGGAGCAGTCCTGGGAAGCACAGGCCACAGGCCCCGTCGTCTCACAGCCCCCTAGTGCCGCCGCGCCCTTTGCACCGCAAACCTATCAGTTTGTGGCTCCCAATGAACACTTGCAACATAGCCAACTCCGCGTGAGCCCTGACCCTGCATCGACAGAACCTAAGGTTGGTGAATTTAGTCAAGGAAATTTGGAAATATCTTCTTCAATGGTTAACTCACACTTCGAAGCAGATACGAAGGCCAAAGGTTTGACCAATTTCAGTTCTGGTCCTTCCAATAATTTTACAAGACATACATCCAATTTTACGGGACATTTTTCACAGGAAAATATTCAAATGGCAAGTGACCAGCTTGAGTCAAAGCAAAGTCCTCCAAAAGTTGAACTAACTCGGTCAAGTGGAGATGCCAACTCTCAGTGGCATGTTGCTTTGATGCAAAATAATAGATCACCTTTAGATTGTTACTTGGATGAAACTCATAGAGATGTAGAGGTTATGTTTTTCAATGACATTCAACAAGCTCCTGAATACTCTCCACACTTGAAACAAGTTGCATTCCACCCTTCCATTGAGGCCATGGACCCTCACGGAGCATCGGAGAGAGGCATGGCCGAAGAGCTTAGTCAGCATCCCGAGGGGCGCGAGCTCCCCGCGGAGGTGGTGCACAGCAAGGATGCGAGGCAGAATGAATCAAACAAAAACAACAGTTCTCATCCTCCACTGAGATCTCAGCCATCTTCACAAACCCCCTTTGTTCTACCAGGAAGACAATTGTGTAGTGATTTTAAAACACATGCAGATATCGCTTTTCCTGCCGAAATAAATCCTGGAGCTTCACCACAGCAGGGCGATGATAAACCTCATGATGTGCCCAAAGGTGAAATTTCCAACGCTTATGCTAATAAACTGGAGCAAACTGCCGATGACAGGGTTCTAAATAATTTTCAATTGAGCCCAGTCGATCAAACTATTGATACTCATTGGGAAAACTTAATCCACAGTCAGCTTGATAGATATCTAGAGAGTCCACTTTTAGATACCACTTCCTCGAGTTCTAGTGAAATACGAGCAGTGCATTCCTTGGAGGTCCCACCATTACCTCCATCATTGCCCCTGCCTTTAGAAGCTGAGATGTTCACAGAGTCGGCCTTCCCACCCCCTCCATCACCATCTATCCTGCTGCTTGATGATTCGCCCTGGGTAGAAAGGACAACTGAGGTGGGATCGGCTAATGAATGCGTTCCTTGTAATGGGGGACACTCCCATGAGCATCCAGATGACGTCCAATTTTCTAGAGTAACAGCCCATACTCTCAGGACCTATAGCTCTGCTCCTCAGGACCAAGGGGATGTGTCCTGGGCTTTGGGACGAGCATCCCTGAGAGACGGTCGACCGATGAGAGTGGTGGACGTGAGGGAAGGCACTGCTCGAACGGACTTGCAGGTCCTGGACAAGAGAGACTCTTTTCGAGCACAAAAAATCTCAGGGCTGAGGCTGAACCCAAGTAAAGGCTCAGGGCAGCATGAGCCTCGTCCACCAGTGGCTGTAAAACCCAAAAGCCTGACATCTGAGCCTCAACCAGTAGTTCAGCAATCCGGCAAGTTCATGAGATCTGGCGTTTACAAGCCACACATACTACGGCAACAGCATTCAAAGCCTGAAGGTTCTGCAAACAAATTGTCCTCGATGGGTGATGAACACCAAGATTCCAGAGACTCTCCTCACCGTCAGCACCCCCCCTCCCCCAGGTGAGCAATGCAGATGATACGTTAAAGACCAAATGATCCAACAGTATTTAAACAGTTTGACATTGTTCTGTGAAGGAGTCTTAAAATTAAACGTAAAAAAATATGTAATGGTTCCTTTCAAAAAATGTGTACTTTATAGTGAGGTTTAAGTTGTTTGGTCAGGTTAAAGCAAATTATAGGAAAGCGATAATTCCCTTTTACTAAGAATTGGCCCTTCACGCAGAGGCCAGAGAGGAATAAGCTATGTCCTGTAAAGGGCCATTGGCTGAAACGTCACCTATTAGACTTTTGAAACCAATGTTATTGAAGAATGTCTTGACTTAAAGCTTTCGTGACTGCAGGAATTCATATTCTTTGGGTCTTTCGGTAAAGTAATATAAAGATAGATTTGTTTGAACCTATCTACGTGACTTTACCGAAAGACCCAAAGAATATTGAAGAACGTGTTGAGGTTTTTAGTTGTTCGTGTTTGCGCACCACTGCCAACGCAGTATCATGAAATAATTTGTTTCGATGACAACGGGGTATATTGCATTAAATGCATATGTGATTTAGGAAATATGAAAATGGGCAATAATTGGAGTACAACGTATACAAAAGTTTGCAAGTTTGTGCGAGAGTGAACACTCGTCACAATTTTCTCAATCGCAGCTTGGCTCTGGCTCAGCCTCACGCTCAACTGAGCGAGGCTGGGCTCACGGGAATCCTGAGTGTGGCTGGGACTATGCTCAGAGCCGGCTCAAGTTGGACATCTGTGAAAAAGAGCTTTATAGCTTATCGGATTCCTCCAGTATATATATTCACTATTCTGAAGTAAAGTGTGGCTTTAAGCCGGCTCACTGGATCTCGACCCGAGGCTGATTCAAGCCATGCCTACGAACGGAGACCTGCCTCGAGCACGGCCGCATGTGTGGGGTGGTCGCATTGCGGCGCGCGCGCTGACGACCACGTGCTGCTGCTGCTGCCGTGTGCACCGCGCAGTGAGGCCGAGCAGGACGCGGCTCCCGGCGTGGAGACGCTGCCCTTTAACGAGCGCCTCCGCCTCTTCCGCCAACGCGAGAGTCAACGCAAGCACACGTGACCCTGCTCTCCTCGGACGTTGGAAAGTGGTGAAGGCTGACGAACCACGCCGCACGGTATTAGTCTCAAACGCCTAGCCTCGCTCGAACGTCGGGCACAAGTAACGAAAAGCAGATCACTGGACGCATCCATTGTTGCTGGTGGTAAACATCACGGCGCAGAGTTCGTGCAACCACAGCAGCCAGAGCTGCTGTGGTTGCACGCATGCCTTGCACTGATTTCAGCCGTATTACGAGTGGTGTAAGGCTGTAGACCATAGCTCAAGTACAAGTGCCTTGCCCTAAAAATAGCTGCAAAATTTCCAACCTGTGCATAATAGGGCTATATGAGGGTGGGTCATGGTTGATTACCTAACTTTCAGTATTTTTAGCAAAACTATACAAATGTAAAGCTCAAAAGCAAATATAATCACTGCAAAATACCACGTACAATTTATGAAAGCAAATATGTCTAGTTTTTATTCCCTGACACAATGTATGCGTGTATACAATAGAAAGGCGGCAGGCAAGGCAGGATTACACAGAATGACGATACACAAGGAGAGAGGGGCAGCGCGTTCAGGCTGGATTTTAAAAGAGGCCTCAAGCACTGAAACTGGTTGCCCACGGGCCAAACGCTTTTCCTTCACTCTTCACGTTGGTCGCTGACCTGTGTGTGCCGCCTCCATTGCTTGTCCTCGGTAACCTTCATTTCCACAAGCGCCCCCTTCATTCGTCTCCTTCCAACACTGCGACCCTCTGCCTGTCTCTTGGTCGGTTTCCTCCTCCTGCGGCGTCCCCGTTCATCAAGCCGTGCACTCGGAGATTGTGTCCACTTCAGCTCTTCTCTCTCCTGATGACTTCCATGTTCATTCTTCTTTCGTATGCTGAACTTATTTTGCACCGTACGTAACCAATCGTGCTAATGCCGTTAACGATTGTCCACCAAGACATTGCATCTTGCACATGTGCCAATTTTCAAAGGTCACAAGTTTATTTAAAAGGAAGTTTGAATACTCTTCTAAATGTTTTTTTTATGATTTCAATGCCTGCGGATTTCCTTTTCACAACACCCTATTTTACGCACATTACTACCTAAATACATAGTCTGCCACTACCTCCACACTTTAACTGATAGAGGTGAAGGAAAGGGAGCATCCATAATCAATGCCATGCACTCTGTTTTAAGTAAGCTCATGTTCGGTCCAGTGTCCAGTTTTGGTGCCTAAAACTGCCAAAAGTTGCAATGCCTTCTTCACGAACAAACATATATCATCTACACACTGCAAGTTTCTTTGCTACAAGTGATCCATTGTGATGCTTGTTTTTTAGCACTTATTAGTGGTCCTCAGCCATTGAACAACCACCGTTTACTTTCCATAATTAAGCAGTCATTTAGTGCTCAATTTACTGACCCGAGAGGGGCGATGGGCTAAATCAAACTTGATCATGATTCACAACCTCACACTTATGAGCACATTGCCCTATCGGCGTGAGTTTTGTTGGCGATAAATGTGTAAATACATCGCTATAAACGTATATTCTATATCAACGCTTGTCCAACGACCAGAGGTTAATTGAGGGATTGGTCGTGTGGAATGAGGACGATGAGGCCAAAGTGATTGTGTTTTGCTTGAGAGTTGACACACCGGACCTACATCACTAATTACAGCTTCTGGCAACCATCCTGGTTAAACTGGCTGGGTGTGATCTCATGCAAGCAAATACGTATACTGTATTGTATATATTTCCTTTACATTTTCATGCAATGAAATGTGTAATTTTATACGTAGGCTTTTACAACCATTATGAATCAATTGTGTGTATATAATAAGGTATCAAGGCTAGATATTACGCATGCTCTAAATGACAGACAATTTATTTTAACATTTATATCATCACCCTGTAAACTAGCATGTTTTCTGGTTGGTTGATTTTGGATTTTATTGATGTACACTAATAAAAAAATCCGTGCATATTTATGAAGTTTAACCTCCATTTAGAAAATGTGTTACCTAAGACAAGTGGGCCAATGTGCAGCTCTTCAGGAAATGCTGATGTTTTTCGGCTAATACCTAAAGGTTGTTAACCTTTTACATGCTTTATGTATTTTGTGAAACTCGTGGTTTTCCAACCTGCACTACAATATTATGTATGTTATGATGGCTTATTCTCGTCATGTACAGATTTCACCCTCAATTTTTATTGTGGTTTTGTTAACATTTCCCTTCACCCTCAACATTTATTGTGATTTTGTTAACCGTTCCCCTTGATTTCAATGCACAACCCATTACTATGTTAGTTTTGACATAAATTAAAGTGGCAGCATCTATATTAAACTCATTAATTATATGAAAACACCTTCGTATATATCTTGACTTAAAGCTTTCGTGACTGCAGGCATTCATATTCTTTGGGTCTTTCGGTAAAACCACGTAGATAGAAAAATAATAAAAATATCACAACGTTTCGATCGAAACACAAGCAATCGTCATCAGGTGAAAAACAATAGCGGGAGAGCTGGTGAGGCAGGATGTTATAAAGGTTTGAGATGGGTGTAGCCCAAGCGTCATAAGCGAAGTGGGCGGGGCGAGAGATGAAATTTGCATATAAATGTGAGATCGGAGAGCTGGGCTACCTCCACGACGACGAACTTGCGGAGGTGGCCATTGCATCGTGGAGATTAGCATGTCAATGTGGGAAAAAAGAAAACGACCGCCAAATCGAGGAAAACGAGCAACGGTGGCTGTGTTCGTGAGACATTTGACCTGCTAGGTTAGCATGGGAATTGTAGGCGCTGCCTCTGCCTGGCTGCTGCTGCCTTCCGGCGTGTAAGTGGTTCCTCCGTGCTCGAGTCATCCTCTCTCCGCGTGCGCCAATACTGCGGGTCGAGTCGGTGGGCATGGAGCTGCAGTCCCACCGCGTGCCCGCGAGAGGGCAGGGACTGTGCGCGTCACACTGTCGATTCACTCAGAGCTCTCATGATTACACACATCCATTCACGCTCAACTCTTGATCACGGGTCTATTCACCCGGATAGATGTATGTGCGTGAGATGCAATATTCAACTAAACATCTATTTAATAATTGTGCTGATGATCGAGACACCGGCGCAGAGTTTGCTTGTACGACATCAGAGCTGCTGAAATGATTCGCTCCCGAGGGGCCGTGGGGCTCCGGGTCGTGCACGATATGCAGACGCGACAGTGTTGTATTGCAGAGACGTGGAGACACTGCTCCTTCATTCGAGTGTTAACCCCTGTTCTGTTCTTGCGTATGACGGCAATATGTCCACGACCTAGATACCAATGTCGAGGTCTGATTGTCACGATCAGAGGGCTTCAGGAAAGTTCGTTGGAACTAGTTTTGCTATTCCTCCGTTGAAGAAACGCAGACTACAGAGTTATATACGATTTGGGTCGCAGGACCAGTCACACTAAAGTATGTATATGGGTATCTGTATGTACCTGTATGGGTCTACTATATGGCACATATAGTTGGGGCTGCATGGCCAAAATTGCACTATTCTGGCTTCTCTGAGTCTCTGTGGGTCTCTGAGTATCTTTGTGTCTCTGAGTCTCTGTCTCTCGGAGTCTCTTTGTATCTCTGAGTCTCTGTGTGTCTCTGAGTCTCTGTGGGTCTCTGAGTATCTTTGTGTCTCTGAGTCTCTGTCTCTCTGAGTCTCTTTGTATGTCTGAGTCTTTGTGGGTCTCTGAGTCTCTGTGGGTCTATTCGTCTCTTTGTGTCTCTGAGTCTCTGTGGGTCTCTGAGTCTCTGTGGGTCTCTGAGTATATTTGTATCTCTGAGTCTCTGTGGGTCTATTCGTCTCTTTGTGTCTCTGAGTCTCTGTGTGTCTCTGAGTCTCTGAGTCTCTTTGTGTCTCTGTGGGTCGATGCGTCTCTGGATATCTGAGTATTTACAGCTCAATAATTTGGGCCGCGTGGCCACAGTTACCTTATGACGTCACCGCTCGAATTTTTTACATCGACGCTATGACGTCACTGCCTCAAGTCGTAAGTGGGTCACGCGGGTAGCGCGGCGGCGTGACGTCGTCAACGAGCGGTTGGTCTCGCGTTAGTGACGTCACGTCGCGCCCGTGTGTTTTCCCGCGCGCCGCTTTTCCTCTCGGGTCACGCGGCCCGCGTCACGTGCTGCGCGCCGGCCAATGGGAGGCGAGCGCGGGCCGTGCGGACGCGGTGCAGACGATGGCGTCGCGGCTCCCGCTCGGCTCCCGCGGCGCCGCGGAGTTGGCGGCGCGCCGCGTCGCGGCCGCCATCGACGAGCTGCTGGCGCGCAGTCTGTCCGAGGAGCGGCGAGCCGTCGCCTCGGAGCTCCTCGTAGCGGTGAGCGGCCATGCGGGTCTTGTGGACGAGGCGGGGCCTAACACAAACCCCGGGCTGGCCTTGCGCACCCTCTCCTGCCTCGCCCGCCCTGCCCTCTCCTCCCTCCCTCCCTGCTGTTCCCTGCACTGCCCACCCCCTTCCCTTCCTCCCTCTCCTGCCTTGCCTTCCCTCCCTGCCCTTCACCCTGCAATTCGCTGCTCTGCTTCCGACCAGCACTGCACTGCCCACACCGACTTCTGCCCCAGCAGGGCACGTCGTGCATGTTGACAAATACACAACACCCGCACTACTGGTGTTGGTTAGCGTTAGTCATGGGCATTGCGGCCATATGGACCTTATGGCGGGACCACGGGGTCCCGAATAAAAGTGAACATCGTAATTAATTTACTTATGAGGACTCGGTCCCACCGCGCACACAAACGCCGCGACCCGCCTGGCGCGGCACGTTCCGTTGCATCGCGCACAAGAGCTGAACAAGCGAATGCTGCACTCCACGCTCGGGTACGGGCACGATCACAACAAGTCTCATCCAAAGCTGCTCAAACTGCCTACACGACTTAAGGCCTTTATCTGTCACCACGGTTTGCACAATACAATGAAACTGCTCAATCATCTTCATTATTATTTGTGACCTACCAATGTCTGCAGCCAGGATGCATTGCGTTGCCTTTCAGACCTCATTTTCGGTAATGTTGAGGTCTGTTAATCGCAACATTCACATCAAACAATGTCTTCTTCACCCTTAGAGACGCGGTTATGTCTCAGTGGGATTGTTTACAGTGGAGCTGTGATGCTTCTGTGCTTGCAGACCATAGTGAGAGGTCTGCAGGAAAATGTGACGATAAACGGGAAGCTGTGGCATGAAATTCCTGAAGTGGAAGATCCCCTGCAAGGTATGAAATTGTAAGATGCTGTAAACTACATTCTCCAGTCAAACGAATGTCACCTCGTGTCAGAAACGATCTACAGAACAGGACGCTACAGAATTACTGGGGTCACGTTCTTGGCGTTATCTCAACACTAGATGGCACTCTGGTTTTGTGAATCACTTCACTGCTTCTTCGCCTGTTATACAGCATGCATAATTATTGGTTTCAGCCCTGACAGTTGAACTGATGATGACGAATGAGCAATTTGTGTTTTTTTTACATAGATACTTATACCAGCAACTCGCTGGATGTGAAAACAAATTAATTGGGGGGTGGCTGAAATCTGAATTAATTGTCTCAGTTGGTTCTGCCTCAATTCTGTTGACACAGGAATCCTCCACTTGAGCCACTGATGTGAAAGTTAGAACACTGTAGATTATGAAGCCCACGAGGTGAGATTTCTGATACATTGTTAATGAGCCATATATTACTGTCAGGTCCATGGTTGGTAAATCACTTCCAGAGCTACTCTCTGGGCAAAATATATATTTTTAAAGCATGGGACATACTTATCTGCCTTGGATTTTAAAATCATTCAGTTAAATGGTGCACACATTATTCAGGTTTATGAAACCCGGGGATAGGTACCTCAGGTTGTCTATTGTGAGGAGATATTAGGTTGGGTTCAGGGAGGCAATAGAGGGGTAACAAGAATTGGTAACTGCTTGTAAAAGAAGTCCACAATATGGTAAACAGAAAATGTATAGAGGTAGTGAAGGATGGTGGGAATGTGATGATGTTTGAAACTGAAGGTGTGTAAATTGGAAGGCAAGAGAATTGTGGAGGCAAGGTTGGGTACAGAAGCACAGCAGTTGTATGTCAGGAGGCAAGGATACATTTTCATGACGTATACCCATGTATGTGTAGTGACATAGCGCTGACTGTTGTGCAGCAGCTGCAGGTGGGCACTTGGCACACGCCGTTGAGTATATACACAGGTGTGCCGGCAGGGCAGAGGAACTGTGGCAAGGGTCACGATAGACCTTGTGGGGAAGCCCCTGGATCACTCTGGTGGGTTCTCAAGAAGGGAGGCGCGGCTAGGGCGGAGCCAAGATGCGCCAAGGGGAATAAAAGCAGCGAAGAGTGAGAGCTCCAGGCTGCCAGTTCTGGGATTGGACTTGTCTCGTCATTGCTGGCATTGTCACTGCCTTCGTCCCTGCCGCCTTCGCCCGATTATTGCACGGCCCGACAGTAGTTGGCTGTCCCGGTCGACGCCGTCAGTGCAGCGCGGACAGGGTTGTGTCTGGGATGGGTCGTGAGCAGCGTGGTCGAAAGAGAGAGAGGGGGGTCCCCGAGTGGTGGCATGACCTCAACAAAAATAAAAGGGGAGGACTATGCCTCCTGCGATTACCTCGTCTCCAACTGAGTGTGTGTGCGACGCACGCCACCCGCACGCACACACAAGTCTCGAGCAGGAAGGAAGAAGAGACCTACGACACTACATATGTAAACATGCAGAGTGATGGAAAATAGTTAATATCAAACTTGATCTTGCAACCTACATAATAGTAAGATAAGAATACGGAAACCAAGCAAAGCGTTTTCAGCTAAAACTAGGAATTTGAATTACCGCAATTAAAGCTTGTTTTTTGCCAATTGCAGGTTTTTCCTTTATCTGCGATCTTTATTTCTGCAATCAGATATGGACATGGCGAGCTTGGATAAGACTCGGAACAATCACATTACGACCGTGGCCGGCAAGCGACGGCGCTACCCCAAGCGGATCATCAAGCACTTTGTCCGGGAGCTGAAGGCTGAGCGAGAGTGTCTGGTACGAAAGCAGGCCTTTTCAGACCCACGGGACATCTGATCCCAGCTTGATGGGAACCATGGGCCATAGACACAACAAAAACCATACACTATATATACACACCTGATGCAGTATAATCTGTATGCATAAGAGATTTAGTATCTATTTCTAGATTGTTGGGAGTGGGTGAGTTATGTTTAGTATAGTTCGGTCTTGTACTTTCTACAGAACTGGCTTTAGATGGCTGAAGAATTCAGCGGCACCAAGTTTCAGGTTGATGGTCTGCTGATAGCGAAGCTATGAGGCCCACATACCAGGCCCCCACTCCCACTGAAGTCCACCGACACCTTGCTTAACTCAAGGCCCTTTAGGTAGAAACTTTAGGTGATTATTTCACACTTTTTAATTTAAATAATTTGAATGCTAGTGAGGACCATTTACCACTACATTTGAATCTGTAGGTTGGATGAAATGAGCCATGGCATTGGTTGGGCCTGCGGGCCATAGTTTTGATAGATCTGCATTGAATCTTATCTTCCTGTTCAGCAATGATAATTTACTTCCTCTAGGAAATGTGTGTGTGCAGACCATGATTGCCTGTTTGTTATAACAGAGGTTTTCCCATTGAGCCATACAGCCTTATTATAAACAGTCCATATGCTCTCTGTGTTATTCCTATGAAAACTGATACCTCCTGGTTTCTGAACAACCATGGAACATCTAAGTTTAAATTGTAAATGTTTGATAAAGGATTGTTTTTTGTTGTTAATTTATATTTATCTTTTTCCAGAAATTGTACCATCCTTATCTTCCAAAAAGCCTGAAGAATGAATGCAACACAGGTGCTTTGTGGAGTCTGTTAAAGTGCAGTTGAACGTCGTTTACACATTATCACATGTACAAGTTAGCCCATGTATGTATATTGAACTTATTTTGCACCTTATGTCGTCAATCTTGCTAATTGGAGGTGCATTACATTGATTGTGTGTTGGCATACATTGGTGTGTGTAATATTGCCCTGTGTCCTGTGCCGCTGACAGTTGTGTGTGGCGAGTCTGTAGACGATGCTAAGCACAAAGAGCTGAGTGAGCGGGTGGCGAGCGTCTCTACGGAAACATCGGCCCTCATGAAGGTATACGAATGCCTTGTTTATACAGCCCATAATCATGTTGTGGCTCTGGATGAATTGTGTTTTTATGTGATTTCGTGCATAGCTGCTTGAGATGATTGCATGACAAAAGTTGCGGGTCCCCTTTTTAAATGTAAAAAGGGAACCCCCAACTTAACCTCTCCTTGTACTTATACAATATTTTCTGATGTGACTTACATGTATCGCTATGCTTGAGTAATCACAGCTCGTCACTACTTTAACCCATTCTCTTACCCCCACTGTGACTAAAGATTGAGACGTGTGGAGCAGCGTGCGGTTCTCAACATCCTGTATTTTTCTTGCCACGGTCTCTGCTGATTGCTCAAATTCTCTGCAATTGGCACCTCTGTCATCATCTCTGTTATGGAGTCCTCTCCTAACCCTGCATCTACCTGACATATGTCCCCTGCCTGCCTACTCGCTCTTCTGTGTTGCCTTAACTCTGGTACCATTTGGACCTCATTGCAAAAGGATTGGATTTTTTTAGAAATTGCAAATTAAAATCAAGTGCAGCTCAACCTGTCTTAACCCATCTAGCACCAGAGCCCTAAATCCTCATTAGAACTGCAACTGGATCCAAATCCGCCCATAAGCAGCATGGCCTTATGACACCGCAGTGCATTAGCAGACGCAGCAGCAGCACGTTGCAGCAGCGGTAGCCTCCACAGTCGGAGGCGACGCAGCATGGAGCAGCTCGTTATGCAGATGTCTCGTGCAAATATTATTCTGTCGTTTGTGGAATTTTAAGTATATGACTAGTGTAACTTTAACTCTCCAATTATAGCAATTTACATTTTTCAATCTGACTGCTTTTTCTTCCAAGTTGCTGCCCTCCATGCTGACAAAAGTGGACAATCTCTGCAAGGCTGTGGAGTCGATGAACGGCATGGGCACGGGCGGCACCAACACGATCGTGCACTCGCCCAGCGTCGAGGTGACCCCCGTGGGAGAGGCTCACGCGGGGTTGCAGCTCCCCGGCACGCCCCTCAAGGTGTCGGCGGAGCGCCACAGCCTTCTCCGCCCACGGGCGCAGCCCGATGAGCAGCGGCGTGTGACGCTGCGCCGCAGACTGGCAGTGGATATGTCTCCTGAGTAGCCCACGGTGTATTTTGTTGTTTGAACAGCCCACCTGTATTTTTTCTCATGTTTTAGCTTTCCGTCATTGTAAAATAAATACACCATTAAAACAAACCTGCATGTTCACAGCTGGGTAATGTTTTTTGTAATTATAAAGCAGAATCATTTGTATAGTTTTCCATTTTCTTTTTATTTCTACTAAAATATAATTGAACAATCTTGCTAGAGAATGCTGAGGTTATCTTAGACCAGTTTGCCAAAGCGGAGGCAAAGGTAGGGTCAGATTAAGTGATTTACTCAATCGGAACACGTTTGTGGGACTCTACTGGAGCTGCTTGCAGTGATAACTCCTCTGACCCTGGCCGGAAGAGTCGGTATGCTTTGCATATACAACACGACTGGTATGCTTGCAGAGAAAATCTCGTCAATGCATCAAATGTGGGGACTGTCACGAGAAGTGTTAAGAGACCCTGGATTAAATTCGTGTTCTTGGAAACATGCCAATTCTGCTTTGTGGCTGACTTAAAACGTTTGATTTATTTTTTTTAGCTTGTGGCTGTCAATTGTGATCAGTCTAGCTGAATTGTTTGAGTGCACGTTAATCTTGGTGGTACAACACCGAGGTTTGTGTTTAACTTTACTATATTGATTAACTGAAGCAACTTTAAAGCAAACTCTGTCCAGAAAAAAACTATCGATGTCTTCCAATGATTGAAGTGATTGGTCTAACTTTCTTACAGTTCCAGGCATTTGCCAACTTCAATTTAAATCACGAAGATTTCCAATGTGGGGAATCTTTTCTGCACCTTTTAAACTCCGATATGCATCTCAGTAGATAAATCAAACCTAGTTTCAACAAAACACATTGTTGCCATCACAGAATTAGATTGTTTTTGGAGTGTGCCATTCTAAATAAATATATTGGCACAATAAGTATTGTAATTTCTGTGATGCGAATAACATTAATGTAATCTAATCGCTTGATAACTATTTTCGAATTTCACAATCTTAGTAATTGGGTGAAATTATGCAAACATTATAATCTAACCTATATAATTCATTTTTTGTCCGTCCGTCCGCGTACGCTCCCTACCGGGGGATTTAGCTCTCGGACCGTGGGGTTCGGCGAGATTAAATTTTGCAGGTGGGCACGCCCCCGGCCCCGCGGTAAACTTAGGCATTTCCGATTTTTCGTCTCTAAACTTTAAATCGGACCGATTATCGATTCAGTGCGATTTATCTTTATTTATATAACACTTTATTTATTTATTTACTCTTGCCGGCCGGCGCGGACCACGGCGGTTGCTCCTGGCAACGGGTAGAGACACGCGTTCGCTGCGGGGTGGACGCCATTTTGAATTCCCGTTAAAATATGCGCACGCATTAACACGCGATTCTGAGGTAAATTCATCAAAGTTTCACGTCCTCTTCACTCCCCTTCCACCCCAATGTGTGCAATTACTATTATAGGGTCGGTAGATAATAAAATTATAGCGATTAGACAGTATTATTGTAGCGCGGGGGGGGGGGGGTATTGGCCCCAGTACACACCCTCAGCCGGGTAGGCAATCTAGGCAAGGCCGGAGGCTCTGCACGGTACTAGGCCTCGACACCCCACCCGTGTCAAGCGACGACTTTGTGGTATAAACTCGATATACCCGGCGTTGCCCGGGGGGAAAATACATTTAAAATCTTCTGAAAACTTTAAAACATTACATACCAATGAAAATACAAGTGTGTAATTACTTTTAAACCCGACGCGCCAAGAATCGATTCTCTGAATCGCGAAAAGGAATCGAAGGTTGTAGATTCCTTTAGATTCGGACGATTCCCGTTAACTATAAGTTGGTTAAAGTCGATATAAACTGCAACGAACGGGAAATATCCGGCGTTGACCGGGACAAAAATGTTATTAAAAACTCCTGAAAACATTAAAACATAACATATCAATGAAAATAAAACTCTGTCATTCAAAATGTAAACCCCCAACATGCCAGGAATCGATTCCTTGAATCGCACAAAGGACGAATCGAAGGTTGTAGATTCCTTTAGGATCGCGCTTAACGTGGTGAGGGGTGAGTGGTGAGGGAGAGAGTGGTGAGGGGCAGAGTGGTGAGGGGGAGAGTGGTGAGGGAGAGAGTGGTGAGGGGGAGAGTGGTGAGGGGGAGAGTGGTGAGGGGGAGAGTGGTGAGGGGGAGAGTGGTGAGGGGGAGAGTGGTGAGGGAGAGAGTGGTGAGGGGGAGAGTGGTGAGGGGGAGAGTGGTGAGGGAGAGAGTGGTGAGGGGGAGAGTGGTGAGGGGGAGAGTGGTGAGGGGGAGAGTGGTGAGGGGGAGAGTGGTGAGGGGGAGAGTGGTGAGGGAAAGAGTGAGGGGGAGAGTGGTGAGGGGGGAGAGTGGTGAGGGAGAGAGTGAGTGGTGAGCGGGAGAGTGGTGAGGGGGAGAGTGGTGAGGGGAGAGAGTGGTGGGAGAGTGGTGAGGGAGAGAGTGGTGAGGGGGAGAGTGGTGAGGGGAGAGTGGTGAGGGGGAGAGTGGTGAGGGAGAGAGTGGTGAGGGGGAGAGTGGTGAGGGGGAGAGTGGTGAGGGAGAGAGTGGTGAGGGGGAGAGTGGTGAGGGGGAGAGTGGTGAGGGGGAGAGTGGTGAGGGGGAGAGTGGTGAGGGGGAGAGTGGTGAGGGAAAGAGTGAGGGGGAGAGTGGTGAGGGGGAGAGTGGTGAGGGAGAGAGTGGTGAGGGGAGAGAGTGGTGAGGGGGAGAGTGGTGAGGGAGAGTGGTGGTGAGGGAGAGTGGTGGTGAGGGGGAGAGTGGTGAGGGGGAGAGTGGTGAGGGAGAGAGTGGTGAGGGAGAGAGTGGTGAGGGGGAGAGTGGTGAGGGGGAGAGTGGTGAGGGGGAGAGTGGTGAGGGAAAGAGTGAGGGGGAGAGTGGTGAGGGGGAGAGTGGTGAGGGGGAGAGTGGTGAGGGAGAGAGTGAGTGGTGAGCGGGGAGAGTGGTGAGGGGGAGAGTGGTGAGGGGGAGAGTGGTGAGGGAGAGAGTGGTGAGGGGGAGAGTGGTGAGGGGGAGAGTGGTGAGGGGGAGAGTGGTGAGGGAGAGAGTGGTGAGGGGGAGAGTGGTGAGGGGGAGAGTGGTGAGGGAGAGAGTGGTGAGGGGGAGAGTGGTGAGGGAGAGAGTGGTGAGGAGGAGAGTGGTGAGGGGGAGAGTGGTGAGGGAGAGTGGTGGTGAGGGAGAGTGGTGGTGAGGGAGAGTGGTGGTGAGGGGAGAGTGGTGAGGGGGAGAGTGGTGAGGGGGAGAGTGGTGAGGGAGAGAGTGGTGAGGGAGAGAGTGGTGAGGGGGAGAGTGGTGAGGGAGAGTGGTGGTGAGGGGGAGAGTGGTGAGGGGGAGAGTGGTGAGGGGGAGAGTGGTGAGGGGGAGAGTGGTGAGGGAGAGAGTGGTGAGGGGGAGAGTGGTGAGGAGGAGAGTGGTGAGGGGGAGAGTGGTGGTGGTGAGTGGTGAGGGGGAGAGTGGTGAGGGGGAGAGTGGTGAGGGGGAGAGTGGTGAGGGGGAGAGTGGTGAGGGGGAGAGTGGTGAGGGAGAGAGTGGTGAGGGGGAGAGTGGTGAGGAGGAGAGTGGTGAGGGGGAGAGTGGTGGTGGTGAGTGGTGAGGGGGAGAGTGGTGAGGGGGAGAGTGGTGAGGGGGAGAGTGGTGAGGGGGAGAGTGGTGAGGGGGAGAGTGGTGAGGGGGAGGTTGAGTGAGTGGTGATTGGTGAGGGTGAGTGGGGAGGATGAGTGGCGGTTGTTAGTGGTGATTAGTGAGGGGTGAGTGGTGAGGGTTAGTGGTGAGCATGAGTGGTGAGTGTTGAGCGTGAGTGGTGAGGGTGAGTGGTGATTGTTGAGGATGAGTGGTGAGTAGTGAGGGTGAGTGGTGAGGGTGAGTGGTGAGTGGTGAGGGTGAGTGGCGGTTGTGAATGGTGATTAGTGAGGGGTGAGTGGTGAGGGTGAGCGTGAGTGGTTAGGGTGAGTGGTGAGGGTGAGCAGTGAGGGTGAGCAGTGAGGGTGAGTGGTGATTGGTGAGGCTGTGATTGGTGAGGATGAGTGGTGAGTGGTCAGGGTGAGTGGTGAGGGTGAGTGGTGAGCGGTGAGGGTGAGTGTTGAGGGTGAGTGGTGAGTGGTTAGGGTGAGTAGTGAGGGTGAGTGGTGAGCGTGAGTGGTGAGTGGTGAGCGTGACTGGTGAGGGAGAGTGGTGAGGGAGAGTGGTGAGGGAGAGTGGTGAGGGTGAGTAGTGAGTGGTGAGGGTGAGTGGTGATTGGTGAGGGTGAGGGTGAGTGGGGAGGGTGAGTGGCGGTTGTTAGTGGTGATTAGTGAGGGGTGAGTGGTGAGGGTGAGCGTGAGTGGTGAGGTTGAGTGGTGAGCAGTGAGGGTGAGTGGTGATTGGTGAGGGTGTGATTGGTGAGGATGAGTGGTGAGGGTGAGTAGTGAGGGTGAGTGGTTGTTGTGAGGGTGAGTGGTTGTTGTGAGGGTTCATTGGTGAGGGTGAGTGGTAAGAGTGAGTGGTGAGGGTGAGTGACGGTTGTGAGAGGTGATTAGTGAGTGGTGAGGGTGAGTGGTGAGGGTTAGTGGTGAGGGTGAGTGGCGGTTGTGAGTGGTGATTAGTGAGGGGTGAGTGGTGAGGGTGAGCGTGAGTGGTGAGGGTGAGTGGTGAGGGTGAGCGGTGAGGGTGAGCAGTGAGGGTGAGTGGTGATTGGTGAGGATGTGATTGGTGAGGATGAGTGGTGAGTGGTCAGGGTGAGTGGTGAGCGGTGAGGGTGAGTGTTGAGGGTGAGTGGTGAGCGGTGAGGGTGAATGTTGAGGGTGAGTGGTGAGTAGTGAGGGTGAGTGGTAAGCGTGACTGGTGAGTGGTGAGGGTGAGTGGTGAGGGAGAGTGGTGAGAGAAAGTGGTGAGGGTGAATGGTGAGGGTGAGTGGTGAGGGTGAGTGGTGATTGGTGAGGGTGAGTGGTGAGGGTGAGTGGGGAGGGTGAGTGGCAGTTGTGAGTGGTGATTAGTGAGAGGTGAGTGGTGAGGGTGAGCGTGAGTGGTGAGGGTGAGCGGTGAGGGTGAGCAGTGAGGGTGAGTGGTGATTGGTGAGGGTGCGATTGGTGAGGATGAGTAGTGAGGGTGAGTGGTTGTTGTGAGGGTGAGTGGTGAGGGTGAGTGATGAGGGTGAGTGGTAAGAGTGAGTGGTGAGGGTGAGTGACGGTTGTGAGAGGTGATTAGTGAGTGGTGAGGGTTAGTGGTGAGCATGAGTGGTGAGGGTGAATGGTGTGGGTGAGTGGTGAGGGTGAGTGGTGAGGGCGAGTGGTGAGGGTGAGGGGTGAGTGGTGAGGGGTGAGTGGTGAGGGTGAGTGATGACGAAGAGTGGTGAGGTTGAGTGGTGAGTAGTAAGGGTAAGTGGTGATGGTGAGGGTTAGTGGCGAGGGTAAGTGGTGAGTGGTCAGTGGTGAGCGGTCAGGGTTAGTGGTGAGGGTGAGTGGTGATGGTGAGGGGTGAGTGGTG